TTGATTACTGTGTCTGCGACAGGTGTCACAATCCCTGGCTCTCCACAAATATCTATAGGTACGCTCCACTGGGACAGATCCTCTGCTCGGCCTGTACTGTCTCCTCCCCCCTCTCTAGTGAATGGCAGGCCAAAGTAGGGTTCTCTCCTGATGATGCCCTATCTGAAGGCTGGTGAGAAACTAAAAGTTGCTGGGAGCACTGAGCGCCAGGTGTGCTCTCACGCTTTCTCAGTTGATTTAATCCTCATGAGCCTTATAACTAGGAAGTAGAACTGACCTGGGGCCAGCAGTATGGCCCGCTTGCTTCTAACGTGAGAGACAGCAAGCAGAAACCAGGAGAAGAGTTGGCTCCTGAAATGTTGAGGATAAGCTTTCTGAACTCCAAAATCATTTTTGTCACTGAAAGGGATATTTTTTTCAGCCATAAAGGTAAATAATTCTACATATTATACCTGGGAGGGTAAAGAGAGCATTTAGATTACAGTTTGTTTGCAGTTTTAATAGTAAAGGCTTTTTATATGATACCATGTGCTATGCGTTCACTTCTGTGCAGGAGTCCAAAGAAGCACAGGTGATTCTCACCTTCCCTCTATTAGCACCTATTCCAAATCCTCATTTCCATTCTCAGGGGAGCACAGAACTTCTAGACTTACACACAGTGAGGTGGTTTGATTCCTGACCACAGTGAGGTAAGAAAGAGCTCCCCACCCCTTTCTGTTAGCCCAGCGTGGTCCGTGTTCTAGCAATCACATTTCTTTCTGCTGACTCCCTTATAGAAACTCTGCTGGCTGGCGTCTGCCTGCCCAGTCTGCCTGTCAGGGATCTGCTCTCTGAAAGGAGTCTGTTCTCTCAAATCCTGTTTAGAAGTTAGCTCGTCGCTGGGTGGTGGTGGTGTATGCCTTTAATCCCAGCACAGAACCTAGACAACAAAGAGAACCCTAAGAGACACAGATATACACGAATTTACCTAGGAAGGAGAAAAAGATAAAATCTCCTGAGTAAACTGGGAGCATGGGGTTCACAGGAGGGAGTAGAATGGGAGGAAGAGGAAGGGGGGAGTGGAGAAAAATTATAGCTCAATAAAAACAATTTAAAAAAACAAAAAATATAATCAGGACAGCATATTTTGCATAGATTTGAGGTGTGATTTGAGTTTGCCTTTTAGCTCTGACCTTTACTAGTTTGAGTATGTCAGAAAAATTATCAATCAAAATTACACAAAAGTTTATATTCTGTAAGTGTCAGTGTTGTACAGTGCAATTGTCTCAGATATTTTAGGTTTTCATACACATTAAAGCAAAATATCAAGAAAATGACAAAAACATAGAAGAATCTATGAACTGCCTAAAGAAATAAACCAAAAAGGCAGAGACTAATATGTTGATTTATGTAATAAGCATGAGAAGGATTTTATTGGCCATAGAAAATGAATTAAATACTTAATAAGGTGTGCAAAAAAAAGAGAGAGATCCAGCTATAAGGCATTTCCTTAATTAGTGATCAATGAGGGAGGGCCCAGACCATGGTGGGTGGGGACACCCATGGGTGCTCCTGGCTTCTGTAAGAAAGCAGACCGAGGAAGCCAGGGGAAGCAGGCCAGTAAGCAGCTCCCCTCCATGGCCTCCACATCAGCTCCTGCCTCCAAGTTCCTGCCCTGCTTGGGTTCCTGTCCTGACCTTCTTCAGTGATGAACAGCAATGCTGAAGTGTAAGCCAAGTAAACCCTTTCCTCCCCAACTTGCTTTTTGCTCGTGGTCTTTTGTTGCAGCAATAAAAGAAAAAAAACCCTAAAACACCATGCTTTCTTCTCTATTCGAAGTCTTACTTCTTTAGCATGTAGTCAGATACTCCTCATGATTTCTCTCTTTTCCCTCAAAGTTCTTGAAAGCAGAAGCTGCTTGGTAAGCATGTAGCCCATGACTCAAGATTTCCAACTGACTATTTTACCTCATCAGTGTCATGCTACATGTACACACGGGATTACATGTATGTGCATGTGGAGACTTACTCGTCACAGTCAATGTAATGAGCATAGTAAAAAAAACAAAACAAAAAACCTTTTAGATATGTAAGAATGGCTTATTCTTACCCCACTACACCCTGATAACCAGAACCCAGTGACATCACTCACTCACAATAACCAGACATAGTCCTAGACTCCATGACACCCACTGGACAGTATTTAAGCAGAGACCAAGAGCAATGCTTTGCTCTGGACGTCTGGAGTGACCAGGGTCCTGACCCTCCAATCAGAGACTTCTGTTAGAGACTGGACCTGGCCTTCAGCTTAAGATACATCACACAGGCGAGCAGCCTTGGGGAGATAGGCTTAGGACTGTAATTGGGAATCTTGTGTGACCCTTGTGTGATGACCTTCAGCATAATATAACTTTTGTCATGCTAACTACGAGTAAAAACCTTCTTGCTTGCAACATACACATTACCTTTCTTTTCTTCTCTTTCTTTCTTTCTTTCTTTCTTTTTTTTTTTTTTTAAGACAGTCTGGCTGCTGTTACTGTCCTGGAACTCACTAACTAGATGAGGTTGACTGGACAGTGAGACCCAGGGATTTTGTTTCCGTCTCCCTAACATGGAGATGACAAGCACAAGCCACCATGTTGGAATTTTTATCAGTGTTTGGGATTGAACGTAGGTACTGGGGATTGAACGTAGGTACTGGGGATTGAATTTTGCCCCTGTGCATACAAGGCAAACACTTTACCAGCTGAACCACCTCCCCAGCCTCCTGAGCCACTCTTGGGCTACTTCAGTTTCAGCTCTTCTGGCCTGAGTGCTTAATTCTGAAACGGTACACATTCACTTGCCCCGCCCCCAAGTCTTCTGATAGGAGCACCTAGCAAGAGCTATCATTGACTGACACCCATACCACTATTCTCATTTTAGGCCTGCATGAAAAGGGTCAAAATGGAGAGTCCCATTTTTTTAAAAAAATATATAGTATTACTTAATTTCATTCAGCTTATTGATAAGTAGATATTTAGGACCAGAACGATTCTTAGGACAGAAGTTGCTGAAATATCTCTCGATACAGACCAGCAGGCCTTAAAATCATGGCGTTCCTGCTTCTGCCTGTCTATTATTGGAATCACAGGGGTGGGTCATCACACCTGGCCTTCGTGATTCTTTCCTCTAAGAAATGTATGGGGTATTTGCATATGCTAGTTTGCATATACAAATACAGCAAACTAGCCCAGTGCTAGAATTCCAGGAGGCCACCATACCTTTGAAGGTAATGGACAGGGCTTTCTCTGCCTCAAGATCCTTCCCCATGCTCAGGCAGGCAAGATTGATTAGGCGCGGGGAGCCAGCGGCAAGCATTCCAGCACAGTTTTTGCGGTTAGGCAGAACCCCAAGTAAGTCTCCAAGAATAAACGAGCAAGTCACAAGGAGCTGGGAGGCGGGGGTGGGGGTGGGGGCCGACTGTGAACTTTGCTGCAGGCGGACCTGTCACTCCAGCTGACAGCAAGAACCTTACACCTTCAAGTTTTTAAAGAAGGCGGCGAACCCCAGACAGAGCTTGGCTCCAGGGAAATGAACTCCTGATGTTGTAAAGACAAAGGAAAAGGCCCGGGGGGCTGCCAGCGGTCCAGCGAGACACCTGTGGGGTGGGCAGCTTTGCCAGGCTCTGGGCGATGCCCGGGACCCAGCACAACAGGCTCAGGCTACCTGGCGTCGGGCTCCTCCTCCGACTCGGCCTCTTCATTCTCTCCCTCCTCTTCATTCTCGCCCTCCGACGACTCCTCCGTCTCCAGTTCCTGGGTCGCCTCCTCTTCTGCACCCCAGCGGAGGAAGCCCTCAGCAGCGTGTCTGTTGTCACCGCTCGCCATCGCGCCTGTCCCGGCCGGAGTCAGAGCAACCCACGCCGCCCGCGCCCGGTGTTCTCCCTCTGACTGCACTTTGCTGGGGCCCGCGAGGCTGCTCGGATTCCCGGCACGCAGGGTGGGGGCGCCCCAGGCCTTTAAATAGAAGGCGTCAAGAAAGTTTCGCCACTGAGCTTCTGGGGCAAGGCTTAGCTATCCTTGGTACCAGTCCCCTGCCAACTGTCCCGCCCATTCTGGCAGACCTTTGGGAACAGGGCGGATTGCAGTGCTGAGGGCTGCACCTGGGCGTCAAGCGACCTGCTAGCCCAACCTTCCATCCAGTGATCTGGCGGGTTTTACACTTTCAGCGGAGCTGCTGGATGGTTCTTTTATACCAAAGGAGGCAGCACGCAGCCAGGAACTTGCTTCCCTTAATCTTGATAGACATGGTGCCAGCTTGTAGATAGTTTAAGGTCTCACTGCTAGTATGGTGACAATGGGGGAACTTGCTAGTCGATACAATATCAGGCCCAAGTATTCACAGAACCTCTATCTTAGATCCACACTAAGCAAAGACTCATTGGAACCAGTAAAGCCAGTGCTAAACCTCTCAGCATAGCTCTAGGACTAAAGCCTAAGATTCTCCGAGATGAAATCCTGACTAATCCACTTTCAGAAATTAGGTATTTACACCATATCAAATAGAACGCCTTCTGCCTGAAAGGCCCGCCTATTTACTTAGTCAAGATCACCACCTTTCTCTGAAATGCCCAAGTCCCAACTCACTGCTCCTCTCCAGGAATTCAAAGCGCCTACTAAGTATGCTGGTACCCATGTTTATGCTCTTTGTCCCACCACCCAGTTCTTCGGAAGTTACTGGGCAAATCACGGTATGTAATGAATGCTTCTAAAAAGGCCAGACCTATGTAGTAGTACAACAGGCAGCAAAGTATTCTTTTCTAAGAAGGACTTTAGGGCTAGAACTCCAAACCTTTATTTTTAATCATGGCAGATTCAAGTCACAGTTTAGTTTGTAAAGGAGACAGGTAGAGAGGTATTATTCTCCAGCCACAGCAGCCTGTAGACTAAGGGGTAGAGCGGCAGGCTTTTTTTTAACCACTGATTTTGCTAAGATCCTATTTTAAATAACCCAAAACAGAACTGTTTATAGAGTCCACACTTTTAACACTAACAATACTTTAATAATACATACAAACATACAGAAATGGAGCAATCAACACACACAAAATAAAATGTAGTATTCACACAAAATTAATTTGTCTCCTGCTGAGGATATTAGCTCAATGGGTAGTGCACTTGCTTAGCAAGGATGAGCTGAGTTCAATCCCAGCACAGAAAATAATGTTTTAAAAAGTCTCATATATTAACAGCCCACTTACCTGATAAATCTGGACTGTTACCAGTACACGATCTTAGCTGCTAACCCATTAGTTCCAGGATATAAATGTATCAGCTTTTTGGCCTACTTGGTAACAACAACTTGGCTCAAAAGTAGTAGGGTGGGGCCACAGAAAAACGAGAACAGGTGGCAATGCAAGAGTCCACACTGTGGTTAACTCTGAGGCTTTATTAACATCATGGAGCTGTGATGCAGAACACCGTCCCTAAGAGACCACTATTTACAAACAGTACCGGGTCCCCTTAACCATTATACTCAATACATTCTGAGAAGGGGCTGCACAGTATGCAGTAAATCTCAGGAATAGTTCCCAGAAGAAGAATTCATATATAAAACGCTTAATTGCATCAAAAGTACTACAGATAAGTAATCTAAAAAAACTGACTCACTTGGAAAGTTTATTCCCAATAAAGCCAGAGAAATACAGTGGCTGACGGGCTTAACCACAGAATTGGGTTCAGACCAGTTCAGATAATTACAGCCTCAATCTTATTACAAAACCAATGACTTTCACAGAAAAATTACACCTCAAAAATTTCCAGATATAAACTTTATTCCATTTGACAGCATACAAAAATTTAAACTTAAAAGAAAAACAAAATACGCACCCTTTATAAGTCAAAGAAAGCAAATATTTTTAGTTTTTTAATTGATCTGCAAAAAATAGTTCAGTGGTACAAACTGTACCACCATAGGCCTACAAGAAGTCTGCAATCTTTGAAAAAGTTAAAACTGCTTTCAAGATTACTTTTTATATTTAAATTTACAGGTACTGACCAATTTACAAATATTTACATGAACTAAAAACAATCTTAAGAAACAGAATAGCTTGTATCTGAAGCTACTACTTTTATGTGGAAAAGAAATACTAAAAAAGATTTTTGTATAAACATTAAACTTTTATTTATAATTTTACTGTCTTATCTAAAACACTTTATAGTGGCTTACTGCCTAAAAATTCCAGTTTAGATTATAATCCACAGAAATCCGATTCTACAAATAGGATATAATCTTAACTTTGATGTTCAGTTTTCTATCATGAGGAAAAAGATCAGGAAAACAGAGGTAAAGCAACAGTGTACCCTGCACTATGCTATCAGAAAGCATAGGAAACGCTCTCTCTCCAAAGTGAGAGTCCATTAGCAGGTCACCAACTGCTGCTAGTGGTCCTGTAACCCCCAGAGTGGATCAAAGCGAGGTGTGAAGTGCTAATGAAACACGAATACAGACACAGGACAAGACAGGCTGTCCCAGAGTCAAGTGGAGGGAGACTTAAGGCAATTGTCCAGTATTTCAAGACTCCAGTGACTTCACTGAATGAAAGATTTCATTTGCTTCAAGTAACTGAATAACTGACTTGAATCTTCCCTTGACTAGAACTGAGTTACACAACTGTGTACTGCCAGTTAAACTGTAAATATGTATTACTTAGATCCTTTGCAAAATTCCACATGGTTCTTCATTTGCATGTGGTACAATTACTTAAAATTATATCAAAACCTTATTAGTTCAGGTAATTTCTCAAAATATATTTTATGCCGAAAAGTCATGCCATAATACTACTAATCATCAATGTAAACATTTTCAAAAATACATTTTTAAATCAAAGAGTTTATTAGGAAATGTCATAATAAAATATGCAATCTTTATATAAGTATGTCCTTTTAAAAATAAAACAAAAACAAGAACAAGATTAAAAATAAACCATGATGGAGGTAAACAAATGCATTGTGATGTAACTATTGTTCTTTATTTCTTGGAAGAGTTTAGGAATTAGAGGGCAGCTATCTCTTCAGGGTAGCAGCTCTCAAAGGCAGAACACTGTTGAGATCTCTCTTGTTTTTCAATCTTTGCCATGACTAGGAAAGGAAAGCAATAAATTAAAAATCAATCTTAAAATACAAACTATATACAGAACAAAAGACTGATTTCGAAAAATTTAAAAGAATATTAGTAGTGGTTCTTTCTATGTATACATTTAGATTTTTTCTTATTTTTATTTCCCAAGGTATGTAATTAATCAACAAAAAAGAAATAATTATTTAATATTCTATGCAATGATTTTTTTAAAAATGGGCACACAGGTGGCGAAAAAGCTACAAGTGACAATAACATAAATTACAGATTAAATTATTTCATCTAAAATAGCAAAGTATTCAATTTGAATTTAAGAGGGGAAAATGACTGTTTTGTAGTTTTTTAAAACCAGTATTTTAAAAGAAGGCAAGAGTGAATGTAAAATTTTGTGCAAGCGCCTGGGAACCAGTGAAAGCATTCATAAAAGATACTGCAATTCTTATTCATGCTAAAAGTTCAGGTCACAATTTTATGAAAACATTAAGTGTCCAAGTATCTGATGGTATTGGTTTTACTGCTAAATCATTCTAAAAGCTCACCCACTGCTAAAGAATAAGTGAGCAACAGGAAAACTATGCTCCACTTTGCTTGTTGTGAGGAAGAACTAGACTGAAGAGAGCCTGCAGCACACTGCTTGCATTTTAATTACATCAAAGTCTGTCTGTCTATCCGAATAATGAAAAGAGTATCTCTAAAGTAGCTTCACTTCTCTGACCTTTGAACCTTTCCTTCCTAAAGTTAGAAGAGTAAAGCCACTAGTGTGACAGGAAAAGAGTGTATCACTTGAACTTAATATGTCTATCAATGCATTTCCACACTGCCAGTCATTGCCAACAGGTAGCTCATCTAGCAAAGCTACTGATGAATAAATTAACATTGTGGACACAAACACAAAACATATCAAAGATAAAATGTCATAGTGGAAGTAGCAGAAAAAGGAAAAAAAGGGTACAAGTCACACATCAAATCCTTCTCTTTAATAAATGCCCTGATATTTTAATAAAAGCGTCCTCTGAGTTTTATTTCGTCATCTGTTGAGTTTAATAAGCTCCCTAGCTCTCTCTGGAGGAAAAGTGCCTCTAAGTTCAAGTGACACTACCCTCTTCTTTCCTGTCACATTAGTGGCTGTATTCTAACTTTTTTTTTTTTTCATTTTTAAAGCACACTAGTCCACTAACATCTTTAGGGTCAACATGAAACACTGTTTACCTTTAAAAACTGTTCCTTGATCATATCAAACTTCTGCTTTTCATGCACAGCTCTGGCGGTGTTAGTTCCATCAAAGGGTTCTGCATCATGAAATGCACAGATTAGTACAATGGGCTTTTCATTTTTCCCAGCACTGGCAATCAAACTTAGGATATGTCCCAGTCCTTTTACATTAGGTTCAGTTATATGAAACTACCAGTATATCATATGGCTTAACCTAGTATTTTTACTAGATGTGTATGTCCACAAACACATACACACGATCTAGTTATGCGCTGTCTGGTAAGGTAGGTGGAATTTAAGTCAGAGGAATGACAAAAAATGATCAGAGGAGTAACTGAGTTGATAAGGTCTCTAAGGATTTACAGACGGTTAAGGACGTATATTTAGCAGAATCAAAAGTTACATAAAGAATATACCACTGTATTTAAGAGAAGGGCACAATGTCAGGTGTTATAGAAGGGTAAGCTTAAACTCAATTTTTTTTTTTTAAAGTGATCTTGTCCAGGATGGAAAAGGTCAGGAGCCTTTAAGTAGAGCAGTGGTTCTCACCTTCCTAATTCTGCCACCCTTCAATACAGTTCCTCATGCTGTGGTGACCACAACCATAAAATTATTTTTGTCACAACTTTATAACTGTAATCTTGCTACTGTTATGAATCATAAATATCTGTGTTTTCCGATGGTCGCAACCCACAGATTGAGAACACTGAAGAGAACGGAGGGCAGTGTGCAGCATATTATGATATGAATGTGCTTAGCAGGAGATCCAGTGAGAATTCTAGCATTGAAGAGAGAAAAAGAATTCCAAGCAGAGAAGACAGGAGTCTATGCCCTCAGCCTGTGTACCCCTCACCCATAGTACACAGCAGAAGAGGTCACAGAGAGACAAGGCAGAATGGATGGGACATACAGATCACGTGAAGTTTGGTTTTGTTTTTCAAAAACAAGTCTTACACATGCCTTAAAGCTAAAAGGGAGGAATGAGAGCCAAAAATCAAAGAGGTTGCTGAAAAGAAAAGTAGCTAAGAAAGAAAACCTGAAGAAAGCAAAGATATGTAATGGAGATGTTCACTTTAGTCATATAATCTAAGCAGGCCCATAATTCTTAACTCTTAATTTTGTATGTTTTAGCAGGTGTGTGTGTTTGTGTGTGTGAATTATATAGTTTCAATCAACTACAGTATGAAGAATGCATGAATTGCTCAAATCACACCAACTACAATGCTCAAATTCACATTTAGTATTTCTCATAACTAAGGAACTCTAAAAGCTTTTCCAAATTAAAAATGTAAAACCATATAAATCACCTCAGAACATAAATAGATATTTTAGCAGAAATAAAAGTTGGAATTAGTACTATGATGCTAATTCGTTGGCAGATAGTGGTCAGGGGAAACCTACCTTCAACACAGATATATTTATTTCTCCATTCAATGTCATCAGGCCTTGGGATGGCTTTGGCTTCACGAACTGAAATCATCTGAGTGTTCCAGCTAAAGGGAGAAAAAAGAAAAGAACTGACTGCTTTCCTAATTTCTCCTTAATTCCATCAACTGGAAAGCTGACCCTGACTGCCTGACAGAATGCTAAACCTTGGCTCCACCCCTCAGCGCCAGTTTTCCATGTCTAGTATTTATGCTTATTACGTGTGATTCTGTATACATCTCCCAAGTAGAGTTAAGTTCCAGGACACTGAGATATTTCTTTAGCTGTTCAGCTAGTTCCTCAGTATACACTAGATACTGAATACACATTTACTAACAAAGGAAATAGTACAAAAATGTTTCTTTAAAGTTCAAATAAGGAAAACACATAAACACTGTCTACTGCTCATACTTCAATAAGAATTTTTCATTGGTTGTGAGGTAATCTTGTGGCATTTTCTTTTTCTGATAACACTGCATTTCTTCGCTACATCTTATAGGAATTAGGATAAATCTTTGAAAGCAGCTAGCAGAAGCAAGGAAGAAAACAAAATTAATGTTTTCTCTCTTATTATATAAGCAGTAGTAGTAGTTAACAGTACCAAGACAAGGTTTCATGTAGCCCAGGTTACCTAACTTGCTATGTACCTGAGAGGACCCTAAACTTCTGATCCTCTGACCTCCATCTCACAGTGCCGATTTATGCAGCCGGGAACAGAGCCTAGAGCTTTGTGCACCCTAGGAAGCAGTTTACCAACTGAGCTATATATACCCCACATCTAGTAATAAAATATTTTGAGTGCAACAATTTTGTTTACATATCTGAATATACTTCTGTCTGCAGTATCCACTTTTACATGTTTCTTTAAAGATTATAAACATTTATTTTTATTTCTGAGTTACTATAAAAAACAACGCTTTTCTTTTTTCCAAGGAACACTCCAGTACATAACCATTCAGCTGGTGTGCAAGAAAAAAATAAATTTGAAGATGGGGTGAAATCTTTTTATCAACAATATTTGGCTTTCTCTATCATAACAGCAATCTAAGAAAGATCTATGTATCAAAAAAAAAATCACTAAATCATGGGTCCTAAATGGAAGGTTTCTGGAAATAGAATTCATTTTCAATTTTAAATATGTAAGAAATAATTTGCTGCTTGTGAAGTTTGATCATTGCAAAGTTTCCTCCAAGCATAGTTTTCTATTCTTGCTTCGATCAAAGGCTTGGCAGAAAGCCTAAGATGGTGGCATGCACCTCTAACCCCAGCATTCAAAAGGCAGAGGCAGGCAGATTGCAAGTTCAAAGCCAATCTGGGATAGAGAGAGACCCGATCTCCAAAGATCAAGAACCAAGGGAGTATGTCAGCAGTAGAGTGTTTGCCTGGCATGAACAAGGCCGTGGGTTTGAACCCAGGCCAGGGAAGGAGATTGGGAAAGACAACTAAGCATGAAAATACATCATCAACAGAGTTTTCATTCTTTAAACTATGCATCATGTAAGTGGACTGTCAGTGGAGACATTCTAACACTGGTTGTTGTTTACAGTAAGATGTAACAAACACTTCAAGTACTGTAGTTGAGTTCCAAAAAGAAAAGGAGGACTTTGTTCTATTACTACAAATGCTTCTAAGAGTTTCTTTAATAACAATGGAATAAAAAAATGATATGACTACATACTGAACCAACTTTAATCTTTACCGTTCAAGATCTTCTTTTGTTTTGTTTTTGTGACAAGGTCTTACAAAGCCCAGCCTAGCTATGTAGTCAGGAACATCCTTGAAATTCTGATCCTCCTGACTCCATCTTGTGTGTACTGGGAACGCATGCATATCCCACTACACCTGATGCTAAAAGCTGTAGCCCAAGTTATCCTCAAACTTGTGAACCTTCTGCCTCATCCTTTTCAGCATGCTTGCAGAACTACAACCAGAAGTAACTTTTACCAATTTATCTTTATTAGTTCCTTTGTTTTGTTTTAGGAGAATGCAGCTATATTGCATAGCCTGACCCTTAACTTCTGGACTTAATTTTTGCTTCAGAGAGCACGACTTGGAGGGGAAAAAAAAAAAGAAATCAGCAATTTTTAAATGGTCATAAAAAACTACTGCAAAATGTACAATATATACTCAAACACCCCTCAGCAGACAGGTAATTCTTTGGCTTCCAAGTAAAGAGGATGCCTCTAGTTGAATAAAATTCAGAAGAAATCCTTACAAACATTTTAGCAGTTGCCAGGAATCTATTAAATGGTACCTAATTCATTACTTTGATATTCTTGGCTGAGCTCCCTACAGTCAACTATGTGAAATTATCTTGTATAAAATAATGTACTTGGCATGAGTACTATATGAGGAAGTCTTAAAATCTAATTTCAAACATTAGCCTCCCAGCTAGTATTATTTGACTCAGCAAGCTACTCTTTATTACTGTTAAACTAACACAAAACACTTTCTATCTCCATTCTTGTGTCAATCCAACAAAGCACCTATATACAGAAGAAATCCATTTTTCTGTGAATCTTTCCCTTTAACTTTACACCAAATGTCTAACTTATATAACAATAAATACTGACAGTAAAGATTGTTGGTGTAGGGGCCAATGAGATAGTTAGCTCATCATGTAAAGACCCTTGCCACCAAGACTGAGGACCTAAGCTTTAACCCTGAGACTCACATGGTGGAAAAGAGAAAAGTAACTCATGCTTCATAGTTTTACATCTTTTGTTAATGAAGCCTCCTTTTTTCTCACCATCCACTGCCTAATTATTATTCTGTTTGTTTGTTTGCTTTGTTTTTTTGAAACAGGGTTTCTCTTTGTAGTCTGGAACTTGCCCTATAGATCAGCCTCTCCTCAAACACAGAAAGCTGCCTGCCTCCCTCACCACACCCATTTATCTGGATTATTTTAACTTTGTTCTTACTCAGTTTTCCTCTAGCACTTTTCTGATTCCTTTCCTTAACTTTCTTCAGTAACTTCTAAGTTATTTTAAGGATCTCTGATCCACACTAAAAACCTCCCAATCTCACTCTCTGCATCAAAACTGTAACAAACATTTTACCATCTTTTCACCAGGTGAGGTGCTGTGGTCATCACTACAAACAAAAAGATGCACAGAAACTCTACTTCTAACATATTGAATTGTATTTCTTCTTTCATGTCCTATGTTTCAAATACAAGTCAGATTTCTTTAGAGTTGTCTACATGATATCAAATAAGGCAATTACAATGTCACTGTAATCATTACAGTTAAATATGAATTTTGGAATCAAATGATCTGAAATCATTATCCTTACTAGTTATAAGTTCTTTGGGTATATTGCTTCATCTCTTACTGAATCCTTCTGTGACTCACTGGTAAAATATAAGGTACAACACAAGTTCATACAGTGATTATAGAAACTGAATGAGGTAACAGACCTCCTCTGCTTAGAAACCCTTCTCCATCGACTAACAGCCATTTATTAGTGCTATCACTCCCCTCTCCAAACCCTTCAAAAAAAATAATACTAAAGTCACTATGGCTCTTTGTATAACTCCTAAGGATCCCCCCCCCCCTTCAGACTTTCCATATTGACCAGAGTATTTCAAATCACCAGCCTTACTCTAGTTGGACTTAGAACTCCCCAAAGAAGTTCTGCTGTCTGGTTGTACACTGTTTGTTTCATGTTTAATATTGCCTTCAAATCAAATAAAAGATGTATTTTTTTATTTGCATTTTACCCTAATACAACTACTATTCAAATATTGATCGTTTTTTTTTAAAAATCCCGTTTGCCTTGGCTATATTTTTTCCTATAAATTTTAAATTCCTAGAAAATAGATGTTCCAACAATATACAACCTACATAGAACTAAAACACAAGACCAACCTAGACCCTACTAGAGAGTCCTCAACATGAAATAGAAGCACAAATGAAAAAAAAAAAAAAAACCAAACACCTCAAGCATTACCAGGGCTTGAGAAATGGCTCAGAGGTTAAGAAGAGGACCCAAGTTCAGTACTCAGCACCCATACAAAGTGGCCCACAGTTATTACCCCAGCTCCAAGGGATCCACCTCCCTTTTCTGGACTCCATGAGCACTGAACCCACACATGCACAAACCTACACCAAACACACATATTTTAAAAACCTACATCTTACAACCAGGCTTATTAAACTAAGAATGCTTTTTTATCAAAAAATAGGAACTGAAATCTTAGTTGCTATTAATTAGTTGTTAGGTGCTCTATCTCATGAATCACTTACAGCACTGAAATTAACAAATGCAGCTTCCCTAAATCTAGAGCAGTCACTTATGTATAAAAAAACAAAAACAATTTCAAGTTTTACTTACTCAAATTCTGTAGCATAATATTTAAGAAAGCCCAGTAAGAGGTCCCCAAGGCTTGATTCATTCTTTGAGAGGTAAGGAGGAACATTACATGGAGTATGATGCACAAGGTGCAGCTGTACAGAAGTACTAAAAGATTCCTATTGAAAGAAAAAGGGAAAAAGACACAAAGCCATTTAAAACATATACTAAGAACTTTTATCAAACCTTATCTAGAGTTTTTGAAATTAGATTTTTTTTGTGCTGGCCAGTTAGAAATTTGAAAACTTCCTTTCATTAAAGGTCTCACCAGCATAGTACCTGGAATAGGTCATAAAATAAATGAAAAACTAAGATATTCTAGTTCTTGGCTTGAGTGTATCATTATGGTAGCAAAATAATTCAAGCATGAGTCAAACTTTATTACAGAATTCATGATTCTACCCAAAGACATATATTCATAAAATATACCTCCCTAATTATTTCTTCAGTAAAGTTGTACTTTATGTATGAGGATGTCAAGCATAAGGCAACAGCTCTTCCCAGCTGCAACTTAACACTCCTCTCAAAGGTCACAAAAGTGTCAACCTATGAATAGTATAGTTTTTGAGACTTTCAACACTGTTTGATTTTCCTGTTGTATTTTAAGGGGAAATAGAAAGATAGCTGTTCCATGTGAGCTGAACTTGAAAAGACGATGGCAGGGAAAGACTGAATACCTACAAACAACACACATTCAGTAAACTTTATCATAGTTATTTATGAAGGAGTTATTAGTTGTGTGTGAACTAGGTCTCAATAAGGCATCCAATATAAAGAATGTGAATTATTACCTTCTGTACAAAAGCTGATAGTACCCATTTACATATCTGACCTTTCCTCTATTAGCAGCAAGTTCTGGATCTGAACAGGGTGATTTTCAAGTAATATATATTCATAAAGATTCACTACCACCACTCCCCTCAAATGTAGGCTCTCTAACCCTGGCTAGCCTCAGCCTCAGTACATAGCTGAGGATGACCTTGAATTTCTGATCTTCCTACCCCTGTGTCCCAAGCGAAGAGATGACAGGCATGCACTACACATCCACTTTCTTTATGTGGCATTAGAGTCCAAACCTTGTGCATACTAGGAAGGCACTTGCATCACTAAACTCAAACTACTTTTAATTGTCTAGCTGGAGATGAAAAATGTGGAAACAGAAAAACAGTTCCATTTCATAATAAAGACTCAAGAAGAAGAAAGAACAAATGCACCATCTCTACCTCACTTTGTCTTTCACTTTATAGGTAAAAAGATGGACTTAGGGCAATATTGTTTAGAACTGTAAAACATTTTCTGGCAAAACAAATATAATAAAGGTCAAATATAAGAAAGGTGGTAGGTACAATTATTTTTTGTCAACTAAAAAGAAAAGCAAGTCCCTGTTGAACAGCCACTGCTCTGAAGGCTTTTTACTAATTGATTCATACCACTTATCACTGTAATACAACACTCGATTCAAAACAGAACACACATTTCTTTAAACTGTTTGACTTTCCATTACTTTTTATTTTTTTCGGTAAGCTAAAGAAAAAGATCAGCAACTGTAAGATTAAACTAAAGAGATATGAGACCTACTGTACTAAAATACTGAATGACTGGAACAGCCATATGGCCAGTCTTACTTCCTTTTGGTACAACGTTATATGAGTCATGCAATGATGACAGAATATTGAAGGAGAAAATGAAACTTAAAAAAAAAAAGAACACACCACACCTAAAAGAAGCTAAAAGTAAATAGAAATTAATTTTTTTCTCTGCAGAAATCCTCAGCCTAGGGTAATAATTCACACTATAAAAAGATTCTGGCTTATGAAAAATATATATAATGTTAATCGTTAAGCAGGCGAAGAACTTAGGCTAATATGTTAGAAAGCACAAAGAGCACTACAAAGGGAAAAGCAGCCTTAAAATTACAGACTACAATCAATGGAAGGCAATTCAATCAATTATAGTTCCTAGGAGCAGATTTTCCATATTAACATCTACTGCTGCTCAATCTTTTCTTAATTTAAGGAAGGTTTCCTTACACTTTTAGGATATTCTTATTTTTGAGCTTCAAAAGCAAAATTTGTAATGATCTTTTCTATATCCTGAGAGTATTTTCCAAATAATAAATAAATGTTAACTTTTCTGGATAAATATAATCTCCCATTTCTCTTCCAACTTAAAATAAATTTAAAGAAAACCACGAGAAATATCTGACAACCTTTTGTAACTGCCTACCAATAACACAAAAACACTTTAAACCCACACTCCGCCATTTGAACTTTGTCAGACTTTATCATTTAGGCTGTTTCTTCCTTAACTTAAAGTATTAGCCCTCTTTTGAAGGTAATGATATGTTTATAGTTTCCTGTCACATTTAGTATCACAAGTGAACTGAAATACATCAATTTTCAAAATTATTTTATCTCAGGGACTGAGGAAATAGTTTGAGGACATGATTTCAATCCTTAGAACTCAAGTCAAAGGCTGCCCCAGAGAAAAGTCAAAGCCAACCTGGGCTACAAAAGAGGTCCTGTCCAAGACCAAAAAGAGGGGGTCCATATTTTATTATAATTCTTGAGAAATAGGGAAAAATTTTCCCATTTCAATGTAACTTTTAAGTCATTTGTAAGTTAAGAATATGCCATGTTTTTTTTTTCAAAGTTCATATAGGAATAGGTGCCATATACTAATAAAATGCAATACACAACTCTAGTTGTATTAATGAATGCTACAATAATTTTCCCCTGGGAAACACAGTATTGGGGGAAATGTCAGCTTCTGAACCATTCATTTGTAACTACATAGCTTGATCAAACTATGAAAGCCGTTTTATCACTGACTTAGGCATCAATCATACCTATCTGTATGTCTGGGATTAAATAAATTTTATACACTAAGCAAGTGATGGTTATTATTAAGAAGAAACAAGGTGATTTGCTTGTTTCTTAGATAGACCACTAAAAAAGTATTCTGCTGAATAGTAGGTAAATTTCATATTAAAAAAAATCCAAGGGGGGCAGTAAGTTCTTAGGAATATAAACATAAATCTTATAGCAAATATAACTGTAATTTAAACAGTTAAGATGTCAGCCTAACCACACACGAATATAAATTAGACCATTTCTTTTCTTTTCTTTTCTTTTTTTTTTTGGTTTTTCGAGACAGGGTTTCTCTGTAGCTTTGGTGCCTGTCCCGGAACTAGCTCTTGTAGACCAGGCTGGCCTCGAACTCCCAGAGTATAGGGGATTTTACAGTTAGTTTTTTGTCTTTTGCTTCAGGCTGGCTCAACTTGCTTCCTCTTGTCTCTGTCTCCTATATACTAGATTATATATGTGTTTCTTCTGTACCAGATACACTTAGTATCATTCAAGGCTGTGGGCTAAGCTAATAGTAAGTTTATTTATTCATCACAGTCATAGAAACAGAACTATTAGCAAAAGAAGAACGGAGAGTACAGAACCATAAAAAGCGAATGTGACCAGAAATAAGAACTCTATTATGAGAGAAAAGTCAAACAATTAGAAAAATGAAACATGGAAGTAAAAAACAGGGTGCTTACTGCCCCTTCCACCCCAAGCACAGTACACCGAACTGATGTCTATTATTCATAAAAAAGCACTTTACATGGCACAGGATTGCAAGTGAGATTGCCAGAGATGTGCTTTCAACATACAGTAAAGGATAGTTTTTGTTTTTTGAGACAGGATCTTGCAATATAGCTTAGGTTAATCTCAAACACATCATCCTCCTGGCTCAGTCTTCCAAATACTGAGCCGCAGGTATGTGCCACCACAACAAACAAAGAGTCTTTTAGATTTAAGTACTGAATTTTTTTGTGTGCTGAAACATGTCACTCTTTTTACACCAAAAACTGGGCCTTAAAAAAAGGAAAGCTGAAACAATAAAACACACAAACATTATTTCAGACCATTCAGTATGAGCTAAAGTATAAAATATTTGTGGAAAGAGGAAAACACCCAACCATAACAAAGAGGCCACCTTCCATGCAGGGGCACTAGTCAGGCTCCTCACCTGTCTTGCTATTAGTGCATTTCATCGTGAAGGAGGCTTGTGCTGTGGCTAACTGCTGTTCTTAGCCATGACAAAACAGTAAATTCAAGTAACTGCAGCTTCCCACTGCTCCCCAGAAATGATGGGAATGATCAGATTTGTATACTCCCTAAAGCATATTAAAATAAAAAGAAACTATTGCTACTATCTAAAAAAAGAATGACAAAAAGTTAAATAAGCTACTTTTTGTTCTATACTTCTATTGTCATTCTTTGTATCTAAGAACATAAAGACTAATTCTAACTACATTAAAAGCCCATGAGAATAATTCTCACAACAGTAAAAATTTGTTTTAAAAAAGAAAACAGCCAGGGCCAGAGGTTCTTATCATAGTCTGTTTTAGCAGATGACCCACAGGATACTGGGAGATCCACTATGCTATCTAGGAACCTGTATTAGGCAGCATCCCATGTGTGCATCATAACAACTAGTACTGAAATACAAGGTTATCAGTTTACCTCAATTATTACAGACTTATTTAAAACGATGTTGCACGTCAAGCATCCTTGTATTTTATGTACAACAATGAATAACTTCTTTAAAGAAAAGCAGGAACTTGATGACAACAGAGTGGAAGAATATGAGAACAACGAAAAAGCATCAAAATGCCTATAAATGATGACTGTGCACATTACTTCATCTGGGTTTCTCTCAACTGAAATAGTACATACTAAACTTCTGCTAGCAGCACACTTTATTTTCTATCAATTTCATGAGAAGTCTCGATATTATACAAACAAGATAGTGTACTATTGTTACCTTTTGGTTTACTGCTTAACAAGATGATGCAAAATGTGAAAAGATTATCCAATTGTTCAGATTAATTTTCCCCTCTTTTCAAAATACAAATACACTAAGATGGAATTTTTCTCAAGTATTAACTAAACACAAATGCTGAAAAATTACATAAAATAGTATGAAGAAAACTGGAGTAAGGTCAAATGGGCCTTGACCAACTGAGTATATGTGATCCATATTAATATAGCCATGCATAACATGCAAGAAAAATCCAAACATCAACATAACTGACCAGATTATATACCAATAACTAAAAAGTACCAGAACTTTCTGAAAAAGTGAACAAAGTATTTAATTATTCTAGCGGTCAATGCTTCTGCCTATATAGAAAATGTTATTATATATTTAGCTTTATAACTTTCATATTTACATTGATACTGAATATAATAATTCTATATATAATTGACATACTATGTATTATAATAATTTATAAGAAACACTTACTGGGTAAATTTTTTGGAGGGATGGAAGGATGGGTTCAGGTAGGGCTATAAAAAGAAAAAGTTCAAAGCTTCTGTGATTCACGTGATTCATATTACAATGCAAAAGTTTGTCAGTTATACCCCAGGTATGAGACCACAAGGGTTGATACTAAAATTCAAATTTTCATGTATTTCATGAACACAGCTCCTAAATTTTTTAATTTATTTAACAATCTAAGGTTGTTAATGGCCTATGTATCTTCCTATGTGAATCAATGTTTCCTACAACGTTTCAGAGTAGGACTCTACCAATAATGGTACACAAGTCATTCAATTAAACATCAAACACAAACAAAATAAGCAAGGCACAATTCTTCTACAGATTTTGAATTCCACAGAATTCTACAGATTAACTACCAAAACATCTAATATTAAGACTAAGTTCAGGGTTCTTATACCATTAGTTCGATGATCCCGTATTATTGGAGAACACTGTCATTACTGTCCCTTCATTATTTAATTTCTATTAACAAACAATATTAAAATTATAGTAAGAAAATTTAGCTATTTAATAATCAAAACTGAAGTCACCTTCAACTTCATAACATTGCTTTAAAGAACCTCAATATAGATTAGGTATCTAAGTCAGGAGATTTGCATAGCCATCCTAGAAATATAAATAAAATATATCACAGGGGAACCATTATCCTGTTACCCTCATTTAAAATTAAATTTCTTTTCTTTTTTTCCAGGCAAGGTCTTACATAAACCAGGTTTGTCTCAAACCCACTATTTAGCTGAGAATGACCTTGAATTTTGGGTCTTCAGGCCTCTATCTCCCAAGTGTTAGAATCACAGAAGTGCACCCACATGCCCCTGTTCTGGATTGAGTACTGGGAATAAAACCTATGGCTTAATGCATGCTAGAAAAACACTCTATCAACAAAGCAATATCCTCACGAAATTCACAATTCAATGATTAAGCAAACCTAATCTCAATAAATGTATAAACAATAATCTCACATCATTACAAATGTAATGCAAAAGACATAACCCTACAATATGTGGAGTATGATAAAATACCAGTACTTTAATTCCAAGATTTCTTTCATATTAGTGAACAAATACAACAGTATACAATAAAGTCTGTACTTAAGAATAGGGTCTATATATAATTGAAGCTCAGTACGAATACCTAATACTTTACTACCTATAAAAAGAATTTAAATGATCTCTGTGCTACATTTACAAACAAATAATTAAGTCTTGTAACTAACCTATATAACCTCCAACTCTTTATTTCTAAAATGTAGTATGATATAGTTAAATTTCCCTTTTGTATATTACTAACTTGAAACTTGCAGTGAAATAAAATTTTGCAATGTGTGCATGTGCAGAGTATGAATGGGACTATAAAGACAAATATTTAATTTACTACTTACCAAAATTACCCTGATGTGTAATGATATATACAAGCACAGTCAATACACTTTCACCCAGAGGCATTCTGACATCATTCTACAAGACCCTCCATGTAAACTCAAGCCCAGACACTTTAATTCTATATCTCTCTATATTTTTACAACACTTTTAATGCTTTTAATAAACTTCAATAAATGTGACTCTCTTACCAGGAATTAGTTTACTTAAAATTTCTTCCATTAAATACTTCATAAATTAAAATTATTATTAAAAAAGAAGACAAATTCACAAAGAATATTTTTAAATTCTAGAACCATTATTTGGAAGGACAGGGGAGAAAAAAAAACCAACCTCTGAGCTTAGAGCCATTCAAAGAACAAAAGAACTTTAAAAACTAAGGAATTTAGAAGTAAAGATATTATGGTGGTTCAAGTGAGAATGGTCTCGAAAGACTTGTATATTTGAATACATTCCCCACTTGTTGGAACTGTGGGAAGGATTAGGAAGTATGCTCTTGTTGGAGGAGGTATGTCACAAGAGTGGGTTTTGTGTGTGTGTGTGTGCTCCTACTGCTATGCTTCTGTTCCACTATCATGGACTCTAACTCTCTGAAACCATAAGCTCAATTATTTGCTTTCTTTTATAAATTACCATGGCTATGGTCTTTTGTCATAGCAACAGAAAAGTAACTAAGACAGAAGTTGATACCAGGGAGCGGGCTATTGATGTGTCAGATCTGACCATAAGTTTTGTTTTTGGAAGAATGTGGATTTGGGACTTAGTTCCAGAGAAGTGGTTTAATGCTCTTAAGTAGATTTTAATGAACCATTCTAGCAGGATCTTGGAAGGCAATAGTACTGAGAGCTATGTTGACTGTCAAGACTCCGGAGGTTTCAGAGTTGAACAATATTACTAACTAGGCTAGAAATCATTCTTGCGATATTTTGATAAAGAATATGACTGCTGTTTGCTGTCCTATGAATTCTCTTGAAGCTAAATAGAAAAGTAGCAGACTAATTTCTTTGGCAGAGATTTCAAAGCAACCTAATACTGATTCTGTGATATGGCTATCCATTATTTCTCTTACGCACTTCCTTAATGAAAAAGAACATTTGGAGAAAAAAGAAATACAAAATATACAGTTGAAGTAGGAAAAGAGCACCAGAAAAGTTTATGCAGGAGCTAAGGCTATGATAAAAGAGATGAAAAGATCAAAGAGAGGCTGGTATGGAATACAATAGAGGGAAGGGTGCCTTCAAGACAAGACCCCCACGCAGCTAAGTTTACAACTTGCACAAAAGAAATACCTATGAAATTTTCTGCTCCTAAAAAGTAACAACCAAGGAAAACTGTGAATGTGATTCAAGGGAGCCTGGTTCCATCCCAAGCAGGGGGTCAAACTTGGCAGTGTTGTCCACATGGTTCTGGCTTTAGAAACAGGAAGGATTCATGAGGAAAGAATTAGACTGAGACGATAAACCCAAGCGTGTCCCAGGGAAGTACCTGCATAGAAACCTGGAGAAGCCAATCGAAGTTATCAAAGTGAGGACAGGACTGCACTGGAGACCCCAAGATGTTAGAAATACCAGAATCAAGCAAGAGACATCACCAGGAGAGCACAAAAGGAATATAACCAGTCCAAGAAAGATGTATGTGTCAGGCAACACAGAAAGAATGGCAGAGGCAGCTAAGCCCTTTGACATCAGACACATAGTTACAGGGTTTAGAGTTTTTCCTGCTGGGTTTCAGTCTTGCTTTGGTCCAGTATTTCCTATGTCCCCATGTCTCCCTTTTGGAATGGTAATGTATATATTCTGTGTCACTATATGTAATTGGAAGTATATAATACACTTTTTGAAAATGAAGAACAATTTAAAAATGGATGTTAGAAAATTCTATCCCAGAAAGAAGCTAGCTGATCATAAATGTTCTTAATTCTACCCAACTGATTTTACCTGTTAACTCTGCCTCTTAGAATCTTTTTCCTCTTATGCTTTGATTAGTCACTTATTGAAACATATGTAGTCTATTACTGACTACTAACATATACCATAAAAATGCTATGACCTTTTATCTACCAATATTTAGAACAACTGTTTCCTTCATGGCAAAAAAAATATGTATGAGAATATTTAGAAAGTTAAATAATAATCATTATCCAACAACTTATATTATAGGTAAGAATATGAAGGTCAGAGAGATAAAATAATGTTATCAATTTCACAAAAACTTGTGCCAAAGGCTGAACCGCTTCAGTCTCTTGTAGGCCATTTTCTCTCCCAATAAGGAAATAACAACAAAGAAAAAAATTACCTATCTCATCAATATTTTTGGGGGAGGGCAGTAGAGGATTACTTAAAGTTGGCCAATGGAGTTACACATCATAGAACTGTTTTTACATACAAGTATTTGCTAAGAGTGTCATTATACATGGACGACTTCAGTAAGAAACCAAATCCTAAAATAATTTCATTATTCTGGTAAAATATTAATTCTAGATAAATTTTCAATTTGTTTGACAAATCACCTTAAAGTGCCTCCGCTTAAAGTACATTTGCTAATAATGCACTTAACCGATTAAAATTTTAATGTGACCAGTAAGGACAGGGGACAAGGCATATACCAGACAAACATTTACTTGTAACAGAGATACATACAGGAAATATATCAGAACATACAGTAAATATAAGGGAGATGCATGCATGTTAGAAAGTAAATGTAATTTATGAATTACTACTAAAATTAAAATGATTCAACTCTGGATGATACTATGATTTCTGTGTTGTTCTTTATAGTATCTGTAAGAAACCCTCTGAATTCTTAATAAATATGAGCTGTCAGGCAAAAGATGAGAGCAGTTCTGAAAAATTTATCTAAGAGAAGACACAACTAAACAATTGGAAAAAATGATTAGCGACAGTGATATACAGAATAGATTAAAACAACACACACCATATTCCAAATAATTTTGAAGGAGTGAATCAATCATCAAGTCAACATATAACCAAGGTAATGACAAATAAACACAATTTGTGATTGGCATAAGACGCTTTAACAAGCCTTTCTGACGACTCATCTAGAAAATGCTTGGTATACTTAAACAATTTTAAGTCTTAATTCTTTTGAAGTCTATGTTCAAATGAAACTGACTGTCTTGTTTAATATAGAAAGCACCTACCCAGTATATAGTAAATATTAGATAAAAATTCTAATTTTCTATTAAAAAATTGGAAAAAAATTTGACACATTACTTCTTGGTATTTGCACACATATGAATATACAAACATAGTCATTCTTTAAACAAAATTATTGATATTATGTTGTATAAGACAGTACATCAAGAGTATCTTATCCTTAAAAATCTTAAAAACATGATGGTAGTGACTATATAGTTTTCATTTTAGCCATACTTAATTTAGCCATTCCACTCTTGAAAGCTCAGATTCCTTCTTTTATTAATTCAATAAACACTATAAAGTATTTTTATATGTAAATCTATTGATCATTGTCTTAGGATAAATCTCTTGAGAAAAAAAGGAAAGTCAACATATATGAACTCTGTTACCTCTTTCAGAATCTAAATGCAGAAAGTACCAAACAATACAATAAAACTTTTTCTAAACCACTACACTAGAATAGTTGGTTAAGACCACATGGTACTGATAGTGATCTATCAGTAACTTCCCTCACACAGGCATACAGTAGTAGTAAAAGGTAACATTCTGTTAGTAACCCATCAGCTCTAACATTTGTTAATAATGCTTATGGTCCTATTCGTTTGTTTTTTGTTTTGAGACAGGATCTGGCTATAATGCTAAGAATCTTCTGTCCTAAGCCACCCGAGTGTCAGAATTACACAAATGTACCGCCACACAGTTAATGAAGTTATTACAATTAAGTATTACTCAGTAAGGAAACATCTCAGACTCCTAGTTGTGATTAACTAGAAATAGTTTTTCTCTTTAATTTCCCTTAGCATCTAGCTGAGTAAAACATGTGGATTATATTATTTATTGGACTGTGTATACAAAACATTAAATACGAAAGTAAAGGTTCCATCCAGAGCACGTCAGTCTGTGCTATATTTTGGGGAACCTGCACCACTACTACGTTATGAAAGGGTAAAAACTATAAGTGATCACTTACTATAATTACCCAGTAAGCACAGAATATATAGCCTTATCAGAATTACCTCATAAACAATGGTAATTGTTTTTAATTGAATTGGTTTAAAATCTGGGCTGATTTGGAATTTGAGGGCTGATTTGGAGGTACATCAGGGAACTAAAGCTTTTTTGTATATTCTTGAGTCAAGAATGGTCCTCCTATTTCAGAGAAAGTCATCTTCTCAGACTGTGCAGTTCTAAAAGGGATACACATGAAGGAGCATGGGAAGAGAAGGTAGACAGCTACATTATCCAAATGAACTAGCAACAACAGGGTGACAATGTCTCAGTCTGGCTACCCTCACATTCTAGAGGACAATCTAACAGAATAGCCCAAAGTAGCATAAATTCTAATTGGTATTAATAATAAAAACCCAGAGCAGATATAAGATTAGTTAATGCTGAAGATCAGAGAAGTAGAGTAACCATCTACTAGAGAGTTCTTACCTCTGACAATGCTTAGACCAAAGGGGCGATCCTGTCCTCAGACTGCATCTCCAGACTTATTGCCTAGACAGCACTGCTTCTCAGACTGCCCTGAGCACCTGTCTCATACAACATTATATTCCTCTTTCCACCCAGCCATATCATTCCTGCCTCCACTTCTCTAGTGCTGGGAGTTAAGGTGTGGGATCCCAAGTGCTAGGATCACCTTTGTGTGAGCTCTGTTTCTCTTTTGGACTGGATCAATTATACGTAGCCCAGGGTAGTCTTGAACTAACAGAGATCCGTCTGCCTGTGTCTCCCAAGTGCTGGGATTAAAGGTGTGAGCCACCACTCCCTGGAATCTAGTGACTTAGTTCTGCACTCTGATCTTCAGGCAAGCTTTATTTGTTAAAGAACAAAATAACATCACAGCCCAGCAAACATAAAACCTAATTAAGGAGAAAGAGCCAAAGTGGACAGATTATAAACTTTTGCCCAGAATATAATTTAATTTCTGTCTTATAAACTCAAAACCCAGCCCATGAGGACCTTCAACCACCATGCCCCAAGCTCTGTCCTACACAGTAAAAGCCTAAGATCAGATCATCAAATTCCACTAATCCCTGAGTTCTCCCCAAGATCAGGCCACAACATCCAATTATTCCCAGGTCACCCTGGAAAATGCTACCCCCAAGAAGCCCTATATAAAAACTACCCTTTGCTCAGTTCTCTGCTCCCCAAGCAGAGGCAGTCACCTCCTGTGTTTTTCCCAAAAACCATCTCTTGTGGGAGGTTTGTTGTGCAATGTGACTTTGTGGTGTTTCTTAGCTCTCTACTGCCAGGACACCTTTCCCTTCAGCATTGGTTAACACATTGGAGACACCTTTCCCCTCAGAGCTATAACATGTCTTAAATAAAAACAGTCTTTCTGATCACTCATCTGTTGCAAGACAGTGGATCAACAATACAGTGGTGAAAGTTCTTTAATATAAAAGTGCAATAAGCACTATCAAAAGATAAAAAACATATTAAAACTTCTTTACAATGATTTTCAGAGAATAAAATTTCTGAAATATCAGTTCAAGGCAACAAAACAGGATAAAGAAGTTGTATAGGCCTTAGAAAAAAAAACTTTTTAAAACAATGCAAACTGGAGATGAGCAAAAAAGTTTTATTTGAATTTCAGTTTTAAAAAGTGAAAAACTCCCATAATACTTACTTTGTAAGTAGTGCAAAACCATCAATACAAGACTGTAACTGCTTAAAGTACCGCGACTGGCGTCATTTATATCATGGTGACTTGCCCACTTCTTAATCACCAACACTAACGGACGTACTCGATTTTCAACTGCAAGTAAAATTAACATTTAAAAATGAAACCCGTTTCTTTGAAAATCTATATAATTTCCTAATTCTATGACAATAAGAAACACTGCTTCCCTCCATACTAAAGGCAGAGCTCACTCTCAGTGTGATACAAGCTTCCCTTAGTTACTTTTAAATCATCATTCAGTGAAGAATATTTGATTCATCTGCAACAATCATAGCATATGATTTTACTATAGCAACATATTATCAAAAAATACAAAACCATATAACTAAGCACAATGGGGTATTGCTATTTACTATAAATATAGTTCAAAAGTCATAAAAGGAAAACAAAAGCTGAAGGTTATTTAGAAACAAACAAAAACTTACGGTAGGCATAAGTTCTGAGAAGGAATGTGTTTCTAATTCCAACAGTATTGTTTACATTTAAGTCAAATTCCACACAACTATTTAAAAGAACAAAGGAAAACACATTTTAGCACAAGTACAAAAATCCACTCTTTCTATTAACTAACTACAATTAATCCACTGATGCAACATGAAATGAAAAGCCATAGACTGTGGTTTTAAAATGAGTCACTAAAGAAGGAAAAATATATACATAGTATGTCATTTAAAGTTACTTGGTGTGTATTAAAAATATAAACTAAGATTACTCTTTAAAAGATCCATATATACTAATGTTTCTAATTACTCCAAATGAAGTTTTAAATGATGCAATGTTTCATAGATAAATAAAAATCACAAGAGCAAAATATTCTGTGTAAACCATCCCACTAAGGTATATCTTACAAAGCACAGGTTTACCTACTTTCAACAATACAAATAAAAAGCTAAATAAAATGCAAGTTTTAAAAAAAGCTGCTTCTATATATCATATTCCCTCTAAACTGGCTGGAAATTCTATGTCAGATGCAGGTGCTGATAATCTGGGAAGTAATGCAACATTCAAATCATCACCAATACGATGCTTTTTTGAAGCAAAGATATTCAACTTGCAACTCAGAAAACAGGGTAATTATTGTTAGAATCTACAAACAAGAATTACTTTACATAAATTAGTTCCACTTATATTCTATTGGTCTAATAATTTTTTTTTTTTTGATTTTTCGAGACAGGGTTTCTCCGTAGCTTTTGGTTCCTGTCCTGGAACTAGCTCTTCTAGACTAGGCTGGCCTCGGACTCACAGAGATCCGCCTGCCTCTGCCTCCCGAGTGCTGGGATTAAAGGCGTGCGCCACCACCGCCGGCTTGGTCTAATTTCTTTAAATATTACAGTTTTCTATGGAAAGACTACCAAAAGGGAAGGAAAGATGACTTAGGGAGTAAAGGTGCTTACTGCTAAGACTGACACCATAAGTTCAATCCCCAAGAACCAATGATAGAAGAAGAAAACTAAGAAGTGACTTCTGCACATACACCATAGTGTGCTGTACATGCATGTGTGGTCACACATATACTAAATAAATGCCCTTCCAAAAACATTATCAAAAATAAGATCCCAGGCTTACGATGATAAAGCATGCCTCTAACCCAGCACTTGGGAAGCCAAAGCAGAATTGAGAATCTGAGGTCAGTTTGAGCCATGTGTGAGAGCTTATCTCAAAAAAAATTAAAAATCTCAAAAAGTTCATTAATTAATTGCTTTCTACATGTTATTACAAAATCTGAACTTTACCTTGTTTTTCTTTTTTTCGAGATCCAAAAAATATTACAAGCATCCCCACATTTCTATTCATAGACTATAGATAGTGGTGTTAGTGTTACCAAGATATAAGCAGCTAGCTTTGGAAAACTTATACTGACAATATTTAATCTTTATGCTTGGGTAAGAAACACCAAAGCCAATTTAGATATCCTCTGCAAAACTCAACACAACCATATAGGTAGAGACCGCAGAATTGAATCTTTTGAAAGGGGCTGAAAAAACCCCTTTTGTGTTGGTGGTAGATTACTTACTTGTCTGCACACCTAACGCCCTATGCAAACATTTTCCAGCACTAGCAAAAAAAAAATAAATTTTCCAAAAATATGAATTGAATATCCATTTGTCATGTTTTCTCCACAGGACGTATCACAGGTTTCTCACACTTATGAACTACTAGAAAATTATGGTTAAGAGCACTCTAAATAGTGAAAGGTGCTAATTAGACAATGAGGAAGGACGTCTGTGTGAGGGATGAGAAAGCTAAACCAAAAATCCAGAATGTCATCTTATTCAACCTAACTTTGGAGCACAGGTATTAAACTAACCCCAAATTTTTGCCACACCTTAACAATACAGAAAGATGAAAGAAAAATTTAAAAAGAAAATAATTCTTAATTGTAAAATCCATAAATAAGAAAGCTCAATTCTGCATATAATATATATACGTGCATATAATTTCACTATAAATAGCTAGAAAAATAAACCTGCTTTATCACAATCCTGTGTGTAGAAAATAGTTTATAAATCTTTTCAACAAATCAAATACCAATCTACACTTAACTTTTCTTATTTCTGCTTGCCTGTTCATTTGTTTTGGGGCAGACATTCACTAGTAGCCCACACTGCACTTGAACTCATCATCCTGCGGCCTCCAACTCCCAGTGCCACAATTACAACACTTGGTCGAACCATTTATTTGTAATTTATACTCAAATATCATGTAAGAGCTTCTAATATAGTATTTCTAGAAAATCAAAATCCTGGCTAGGAGAATATGAAGAAAAATCTAAAATTTTGAAATTGAGTGTTTTTACAGCTTTTTTGTTTTTATTCCCTGTATGCTTTATATCTTTCTCTAAGTGATATATAATTTGTTTAATGATACTTAAAGTTAGAACAAACCCTTTTGATATTAATACACACTGAATTTTATCAAAGGATAGGTTTTGGGGAAAGAATTATTTGTCCCAAAGACATGAAATCTTTTACATTTTAAACAAGGTCCTCACTATATAACCTGATTGGCCTGGATCTCATTGTAAAGACCAGTGGTTTTCAACCTTTAAGTCAAGACCCCTTTGTGTTCACCTAAGAACCACCTGCATATCAGATATTTACATTATGTTTCAAAACAGTAGCAAAATTAAAGTCATGAAGTAACAACAATAGCAAAAAAAAAAACTTTACGGTTGGGAGTTACCATAACATGAGCAACTGCATTACAGGGTCACAGCATTAGGAAGGTGGAGAACCACTGGTATAGACCAAGATGAATCTCTGGTTCAAACTCAGAGAATCAATTTACAAGTGTGTGCCACATGCCGGGCTACAGGAAAATCATTTTCAAACCCAAATACTTTTTTATATTGGACAGTCCCAAATACTCAAAATTCAAACAAAGTAGATAAATCAGTTAGGCATGAAGGTTGCCCAGATCGTTTTAAAAAATAATCTAAAAGACAAGGGTATAGTGGCACACAGTATAATCCCAGCATTCAAGAAGTGGAAGCAGAGCTGTCCTCAGTTATAAAAATTCACAATGAGCCTGATTAATGAGACTGTCTCAAAAAAATAAATTTATATATATGCATACATATACATATGTATATGTATATGAAAATTATTTCTAGAACACTGAAGATAAGCTGCTGTGCTATAACCTATTTGATTTCTTGGCAATCCACATTAGCCACATTAGGATGACTGTCCAAAGTTAATCTAAAGCACCCCAAAACAGAGGGACTGGTAATTATTTACCTGACTTTATCCCTGAACTTCACAATTGGCACTTTCGCACGAATCAGCTGAGGTCTCTCAATGTAGCCAGCTGAAGGAGAAAAGATAATGTAAATATCTACCAATGTTTTTCCGCTCACAGTATACAAAAGCACAGTTTTAAAAGCAGTATTTTACCAAATAAAACCAACTTGAGAACATGCATGCTGTCTTGAGAAAGAAAGTGAAGAGTAAGGGCACAAAGAGTTCCAAGAAGCCAGGGCTACACAGTGAGAACCTATGAGAAAGAGAGAGACAGAGAGAGACAGAGAAAGAATGACAGACAGATATCAAGACCTTTTAAGGATCAGGTCTATACTATTGAAGGTGTTTTATTTTTGAAAATACAATCTTAATATATAGTAGTATCTATAATGACATTTATTGGGACATCTGAGTGAAAAAAATAGCTAAAAGTAAAGAATAACTAAATTGTGGTATGACTCACAGAAATGTCATAATATGCAAATGCTTGCAACTTGGTAAAGCAAGAGTACACTCAATTATGCATGATCTCAAAAGAATAAAATACAGAAACATAAATACATATTTTTTATTTCATCAAAGGTATAAAAATGAACTGTAGAAAATAATACATGTAAACTGCAAAAAATTAGAAACTTTTAGAATTAAAGCTAGAAAGGTATCTCAGTGGTTAAGAGCACATATTGCTCTTCCAGAGGACTTGAGTTCAGACCCCCACACCCATGTAGGGCAGCTCCTAACAGTCTGCAACTCCAGCTCAATAGGATCCAACACACTCTTCTGGTCTCTACAGCACCTGCACTGTGCACATACCCCCACACACACACATAATTAAAAACAAAAGAGAAATAGTTTTAAAAAAAATATGAAAACCTTTATGAATATTCTAAATCTTTAACTATAGAAAAGGAAAATACCAGATTTTCTTTCTTAAAAGCCAAAAACATTCTTATTAGGGTTTTTGGTAGGGAAGGTAAAGTTTCATGTTTTCCTCCAATATACATGCAAGTCCACATGCATGTGAGTCCATGTGTGAAGTCCAGGTCAAAATCTAGTATCTTCCCTCTTCTCCAACTTTTTTTTTTTGAGATAAAACCTCAATGAAGCTGATGCTCAATAATTGGACAGAATGGATAGTGAGAGCCAGGCTCCCCATCTCTGCCTCACCCTTGACCTGTAGTGCTGGACTTATACACATAAGATACCACACCCAGCATTTTTCACATGGGTGCTAGAGATCTGAACTCAGGTCCTCGTGTTTATCCAGTAAGCACTTTACCTATTAAGCCATTCCTCTCCTCTAGATCCAAGCAAGATGTTCAAAAATTTCCTCTAAATTCTCTATCCAATATCAGGCAAGCTACCTGACTATGTGACAGAGAAAGGAGAACAAAACAGAACAAAGGGACAGACTATTCCCAAAGGGGACTACTCCTACTTGTCTCATACACTTGGTTTTGGTGTAACTCTCTAAAGCTTTCACTAAGGTATAACTCTTATCTCAAGGTTTGTAAGACTATTTAGTGTAAACTTCTATACCTCAAGATTTGCAAGCATACAAATCTGCAAAATCTGTAACAAAAGAGAGTAACTCAAAACTTGGTAGTAAAAAAAAATCTATAGATATGTAATCTTAAAGGAAACATATGGCTTGCCTTCATCTTAGCTGCTGTCCCCACAGGGGGATAGCTGTCAGCCATCTTTGTAGGGTTGGAAAGGATGGATTTTTGTTAGGTAACATCACTCCTATCTTGCTTAAAAGTGACCACACACATAAGCCAACTAAGGAAAAAACAACTCCGCAATGAAGCCCAAACTAAATGATTGCTCCATTATTTTCAATCACACTAACTCCTTTCGGCCTCAACCCAGTCACTTCTCTCCCTCCTAGTGACAGGCCACCTGAACTGACATTCCCTGGCACCTACTTTTGTTCACCAGCAGTTCCTAGTCCTCCTGCTACTTCTTCTTGCTCCACTTTGCCCACCCCCTCTATCTGGACTAAACTGGCCATGGTTCTTCCTTTGCAGGAAGTTGCCTGGGTAGACCACTTGGTCAGGGTACACGCCCACTTTTCATTAAGCAAACTCTTAAATAGAAGAGAGACTGGGGTCCTGCATTCCTAACTCTTCCACCTTTATTAAAGAATTCCAATATATTACCCAATCTTACAACCTCACCTTCCGTGACGTTTATATGATTCTCACCAACACTGAGGAGCATAGGCGAGTCTAGGATCAGGCTAGAGCACATGCAGATGAAGTCCAGACAACTTGCCTCCTGGCCTGTCTCCGTAAGCCTGGCCTTAAAGTTCTACTTCTTCTCCCAAAGTTTCCCTGACATTAGGGCCAAACTTAAACGTCTAGGGAAGGAGCCCCTGACTCTCCAGGCAGAAGTCTTAGCGATGGCCTTCAAAATGTACCATGGAAGAGATGAAAGCAGTCTGAAAACAAAAATAACTGATGCTAGAGCTTGGGTCTTCTGGCCAGTTATAGCAACTTACCAGGCTCCCTTGCCTCCCAAAACCCAAGGACCTCAGGACCTATGTCTAAAATGTGGTCAGGGGTACTCAGGAGGCTTGGACTTATTTGCCCAAGCCTTCACAAACCACCTCAACTGTGTCCAAAGTGCCACTGCCCCCACGTCCCTCTTCACATGATGACAGCAAGCCCAGATTGCTCTCCAGTCAACTTCCTAGGTCTGGTCATGGACTAAGGGGGTCTGGGCTCCCTTGGCCCAACCATAGTCATCTCTGACAGGGAGCCTGCAGCAGTTATCACAATATCAGGGGATCCATCTCCTTCCTTCTTAACCCCAGGGTCACCTGTTCAGCCCTGATGTTTTGGGGAGCCACCTTTCCTTCTCATTCTCCTATTGTTGGGTAGGGTTAGGAGACAGTCTTACCAACCTCACCAAACCCCACCACCTAGTTGCATTTTCAGGGGAATCCCCCTACTTACTCCTTCCTAGTGGTACCAACCTGTATCATCCCCTTGCTGGGAAAGGACCTCAAAGTGGAAGCCTCTCAATCCACTTGACTCCAGGCTCACAGGCTGTTACGCTCCTCCTTCTAAACCACACAATCTAATACACCACTCCCTTTACCAACCTCCCAGGTGGATCCCTGAGTATTGGACACCCCCAAACCCTGTATTGCCAAACATCATTCCCCTCTTGTCATCCAATTGCAAAACCCTACCAATTACATCACCCAGCTCAATACCCACGCTCTCTCCAAGTCTCAGGGGACTTGAGGTTCTCATCTCTGACCTCTTAAGAAAGAATCTTCCACACACCACTTCTCCTCCCTTTAGTACTCCCATAATTCGTGCTTTCAAAACCCAACGGAACCTCCTGCTTAGTTCAGAACCTCTGACTTATCAATTCAGCAGTGTTCCCCTTCACCCTGTAGTATACCCAACCCCTATACTCTCCTCTCCACCAGCCCCTGAGGGAACTCCCATTTCTCTGTCTTAGACCTCAAGGATGCCTTCTTTCCCACACCTCTCAATCCCTAGTCACAAAGTATCCTTGCCTTTACTTGGACTGACCTAGATACTCACCTTTTTACCCACTCACCTGGACCATCCTACCCCAGAGATTCCAGGACAGCCCACATTTATTTGGTCAGGCTCTAGCCTCTGAGTTACTCTCTTTGTCTCTTCCTAAATCCAAGCTTTCCAATACATAGATGACCTTGTCCTTTGTGGTCCACACATGCAAACTAGCCAGGCAGACACCTCTACCGTATTAAACTTTCTGTCCAGGCAGCAATACAGGGCTCCATCCTCTAAGGTCCAGCTGTCCACTCTGCAGGTTACTTATCTGGGATTAGCTATTACTCCAACTCACAAGGTCATTACCCTAGATAAGAAGCCTCTAATCCAGTTGCTTTCAGTCCCTACCACCAAGAACAAAATTCTATCGATACTTCCTAGGGATAGCTGACTTTTTATGCTCTTGAACTTCTTCTTTCTTTTTTCTCTTCTACCCTTTATATAAGGTGGCCCTGGGCCCGTTCACATGAGCTCCTTCTTGTGTCCATTACCAAGCCTTTTAGTAAGCTTCAACAGGCCCTCCTCTAGGCCCCAGCTGTACATCTTCTGGAATTAACTTGCCCTTCTCTCCCTATGTTACAGAAAAGGAGAGATATGCTCTCTGGGTCCCAAGTCACCAACTGAGATTTTCCTTTGTGTCCACTAAACATTTATCAAATAAAATTAGACCATACTATTCAAGAACGGGCACCTTGTCTAAACACTCTGGCCACAGCGGAACTTCTCACACATGAATCAAAGAAGTTAATCTTTGGGTCACCAATGACTCACTGTCTTTTCCTACCTTCTAACAATGGTCTCAAACACTAACCCTTTTCCAAGTGCTCTCTCTTCGGTAGCATTAGTAGAGGACATTACCCTTAGCTTTCAGTCATGCCCACCTTTTACCATTTCAAATATCCTTCCCCAACCAATTCAGAATACTCCCTATCTCGCTCTTCAATTGATACCCTAAAAGAGTCGTTACCCAGCCCCTAGAGACCCGGGCAGCCAAGGCTTACCAAACAGAGTAAAAAGAGCAAGATCAGGCCACAAATATCCCACCAACCCCAGGTCACCCTGGAAAGCTCTGTCCCCAAGACCCCCCATATAAAGCCTGCCTCCTACTCAGATCTCTGGAGCTTCTCTCCCAAGCAAAGGTATCCAGCGTCCTGTGTTTTTTGTGAGGTTTGTTGTGCAGTGGACGTTATGGTTGATATCCCTTGGATCCCAACTGCCAGGAGACCTTTCCCTTCGGTGCTGTAAACCTTACATTTTATATCACACTTCTGGCTCTTCAGGTAGTTGCCTTACAGCTCATACATGCCAATCTTCCTGAAGGTCTATAAACTTCTGAGAGGAAGGAGGGAAACCTAGACACCTTCTCAAGATGCATTCAATAGAATAGTTTTCAAGTAAGTTCAACAACGATTTGCTAAATCATGCTTTTTAACCAAAAGTGAAAAGTAGCCAGAAGTTAAGAGAAGATGGGCATGATGGTACACACCTGTCAACCAGAACTCAAGAGCTTGAGGCAGGAGGATCAGAAGTTCAAGGTCGGCCTGGGCTATCTAAATTTATAGCAAGTTCCCATCTTTAAAAGAGAAAGTTTAAAAGAATTTAGTTAGAAGAAAACAATCCACAATATATCTAGTCTCATCAGAAAATAAGCAACTCTTCCCAGAAAAATGAAGTGGTCAACATTTAAATACTAGTTAAGTCAGAAGGCATTAAAACTTACACAGTCGAGTACAGAAGTGTTTATGGACTAAGGTGAGTATATGGCGGGCTTCAGTCTTCTGATTCACCTGAAAAAAACACTGAAAAGTTAAAGTGTTTATTCATTATTTTTCCTTAGCTTAGTGTTTGATTTTTTTAAATAACATAACAGCAAAACACAAAACATATTTTTCTTTCAAATATACTTTTCAAATTATACACTACAGAAAAAGTCAACCCTCAATGCTTATCTTTCAGATTCACATTTCAGAATCAAATTTTTTTTAACTGAAAAGAACCATGTCATTTTTCTCTTCTGTATAAATGGTGTCTAAAAATAAAAAAACTCTTCCAAAAAAATGTAACAAAATCTTAACTTTGCAACTTGTTACTTTCTTATCAATAATGTGAAGGGCTTATGGATTACATACAATGTAAAGTCAATTTGTATATAAGCTGTGACAATATGACTTAAACATATAATGAAGACCACAGAGCTAGTAAGACATGCTTGAATGTAGTCTTGTAGTCTAGCTGCACGGCTTACAATCTCCATTATACTGACATGTAAGAGATTCTTTGCTTCGTTTTTCCCTTTCTTTCCCTTTATAGTATCTCAAATCACAGAAAAATAGCACATTCCTCAACAACTACAAGAGGCTGCAGTAAGTTTACTGAATATCTATTATGATAATATTAAAATATTGTCAAAAGATCAGTTAACAAGAAATCCAAATAACTATAATTATAAATAATACAATTTAGTTATTAAATAAAAATAAACCAGAAACAAAATATCTTAGAAAAATTGTTAAATATAATAATCACAATAGTCTTACATTAAATTTTTACAAATTTTAAAAATTTTTAGTTTTTTTATAAAAAAATTCAAAGCACACAGCATTTTCAAAGGGAAAACAGATATAAAAAAGGGACTGAGAACTCAAATGGGGAGAAAACATATAGAGAATACTGCCATATGTTTTACTTTATCGCATCCTGTAAACACTTGACCTGCCCAGTGACATTTCACAATAAGATGCTACACTTTAAAAACCACACACTTCAGAGCTAGCTGACTTCAACAGCTCAGAACTACTACAGCGGCTCTTGTGCACACCATGCTGGTGCCTTACGTGTATAGGGCAGGGGAAGATGTCCTTCTGGAGCTAGAGTAAACAGACATTTCAAATAATTAATTAAAATAACTTAAGTTCCATTCCTTTTCTGATTTAACTTGAGAAACAGATTTGGAATAATGTCTCATCACTTACTGGTTCTTCTTTAACAACTAAGCATAAATCACCGTCACTGCTCCGGGCACCAAATCCATTTAAAGACGATCCAACCAAAAAAAGTCTGCTTTCTAGAGATGCAGAAGAAAACAGTAAGAAAGTCTGCAGTTTGTAAACAGGAGCATAAACAAGAAAGGCATGCAAAGTAGGCAGACGTACGTGGGAAGAGCAGCTGGATCTCTCTTTGCAGCTGTGCTCTACAGAGTTCTTTCTTCTTCAAGTCACTTGTTTGCTGCTGACAAGTTTCAAACAACTCTAATATCTGCTGACTCAGCTTGAATACACCACAAAAGAAAACAAAAAACAAAATATTTAGTCAGAAATTTATAACTACTCTACTAAGCAGTATAAATCAATGACAACATTAAAAAATAAATACATACTCTCTTCTTAACACTTTCTGATTCAAAGCTATTGTTACTCACATACAAAGAATGGCCTGAGAAACTATACACAAATTTAAAAAATAAAATATTATTTAATTGACAGTAAAGTAGTCAGATAATTCATGAGTATAATTGTAGCTCAGCAAACTAACACCTTTTCATCACTGTCTGTTTTTATGAGGATCATGAATAATTTTCATACTTTTAAGAGTCATAATCACAAGTAAGAATATGCAAAGTAAATAAGAATAGTCAATAGAAACCATATGTACATAACATATTCTAAAATATTTACTATAGGTTTCTCTCAAGAAGTTTTTTCTCCTTCTAGTGGTCTTACTGATGAATGTCATACAGAGCAGGTTTTAGAACATTCCCATCTTCCACATTCAAACAAACTACCCTCTATTCTACTTTTTATAACTTTCTCTGAACCCTGACTTCTTCCAATGAAGTTACCATCTGCCAATCTCCCTTATTTAGATAGTTATGTTTCCCTTTCACCCCAACTCTCGCCATTAGCACAGGATGGTAAGATGATAAAGGATGCCCTTATCTGTAGTGAGCTACACTTATCACAATATACTCTACTTCTGAAATTCTTTCACTATAATATTTCTCACTTGTGTACTCTCATAGCTATGTGTTCTAGTCCTGATATTTTAAATCCCATTATACTACTTCAGCTTCAATTTCCTGTTCGACGCACTCTCTTATCACCCCACCTCTAATGGATCTGTTCTAGACCTAGTCAGGAGTCCCTTGAAATGCTTTTTCTTCCATTCCATCAGCACCCAAATGATCCTAATGCCCTACCCTATGCAGCCACTATCCCAGAATACGTCTCCCAAACCGTTCTCTTTCATCATGCCTTAGAAATTTTATCCCTCAGGCTCTAATGTCTATGCTGCAAAATCCTCATCTGAAGGCAAAGAAAACACTAAAAGTAAACCTAAGGTACTAAAAGATAAAACTGAAAACTTTTAGGGAAGTCTTTCAAAGGTTTGGTATAAAGGTTAGCCTAGTTTAGTGTCCTTAGCATCACTCAGCCTTTACTCTCCTGTCTCTGCTTAGATACTGTTCCCATTTTTCACTATTTCATTCCAAAATGTTTACTGCCTAAACTTACTTTCTCTTGCAGATAGCTCATATTAAAATTTTTCTAAGAAAAGCCAAGCGTAGTGGTGCACATCTGCAAATCCCAGCACTCAAGAGGATGGAGGTAGGAGGATCAGGAGTTCAAGGCCATCCTTGGCTTCATAGAGAATTCCAGGACAGCCTAGACTACATGAGATCCTGTCTTAAAAGAAAAAAAAGGGGGGGGGGACTAAGAAAATTAAAAATACCAAATATAATTCCTCATCTTGCTAAAGCACATAAATTAATAGCTCTGAAGGAAATCTCGCCTCTTTCCTTCTGTTAAGACAAAGTGTCCTGTTGCCATGGCCCTCTACCAGTGTTTTGTTTTTTCGTTTTGTCTTTTTTTTATTATCTAAGCCTGTTGTTCACCTCAGGAGCAGAAACACCTTCAACAATTCTTCAATCTTTTTTGTGTTTTCAGCCTCTCTTAAGCCTCCCACAATCTACGTATGACCAGACAAAAAGTCTCATTCATCATTTAAGATGTTTTTTGCTTGTTTTTGTTCTGTTTTGATTTTTGAGACAGGGTGTCTCTGTAGCTTTGGAGCCTGTCCTGGAACTAGCTCTTGTAGACCAGGCTGGCCTCAAACTCACAAAGATTCGCCTGCCTCTGCCTCCAGAGTGCTGGGATTAAAGGTGTGCACTACCACCGCCCAGCAAGATGTTATTTTTTAAATCATATTCAGGATATTTAAGAAGGTTCAAGAGTTGTTGACAACTAGACTATGAAACAGACATAATTTAAAAAAAATTCTGTAAATACCTGCCCCACAATAAAAGAAACAACAAGTAGGAGAATAAAACAGATGAAACTAAACTAAAACCAAACACTGGCAACAAACACACCTAACTGACTAGGTAGGTATTCTTCATGAACCCCAAACATGACCAGTGAAGGTCAAACACCAGAATGGCACAGTATCAAAGCAGTAAAGCAGTAAGAAGGGAAAGAGCATTAGAATAGCCCTACAATCAAATTCCCAGAAATCAAATGGTCTCTAGCTACTACCTTTTGCTTCTATGCCTCCAAACTGAGGGTTCCCTCAATGTAGAAAATATACAATTCTAGGAGAAACCTTCACAAGCTATAATTTATAAGCAAACCAAGGCCATTAAAAGTTCAGGAACCTCAAACTTAAATGAAAACTCCCTTATAAAGAAACAAACAAACAAAAAACACTAACAAAAATACTGTCAGGTCCTGAAATCTAAACAAGGCAGGGCTGTCAGAGGTAAAGGAAAGGTCGGGAATGATTCTAACTACAGAGAGATAGTTAGTAATGTGTGGAAACTATTTTAGTTACCATAGCAAGGAGTAGAGCATGGAAGACCAGTGACACAACTAATCATCTTACAAGACACAGGCCTGACCCTGGAAATATTTGCTCTAATAGCATCAATAATGTAAAAGCAAAAATTCCTAGTCTAGACAACAGAAGAAAAGAAGGAAAACAGAAAAGGCTCATAAACATGAGGCTAGCCTGCCTAGCCTTCCCTATCTAAAAGGAGCACAGAAAAAGTAGCTATCTCACTCAAACATAAATAACATTGGGGTAGGGGACTAAAATCCCAAAAAGAATAAATTTCAAAATGAAAAAAATAAAAACAAAACAAAAAAGGCTTAGGAATAATACCTGAAAAAGATGTGAAATAATTTCCATAAAGTTTTTATATGAATAGAGAAACACTGCTAAAGTGAAAAACAGTTCCCTGGAGACATAAGGGCATTTTACATATTTTAAAGGCCTTTTCTCAATTTAACTTGCTAAGAAGATAAAGAACAATTTAAATTACATATACTAACAAGAAAAATTTATAATGAAAAACCTTATGACAGAAGCAAACTGCATGAAATTATTAACAAGAATATTTTCCAAAAGCTATACAGGATTAACAGGCTGAAATCCACCAAGATACTGATGTAAGAGACATCAAAAATGTGAAGAGGTGCCAGGCGGTGGTGGTGCACGCCTTTAATCCCAGCACTCGGGAGGCAAAGGCAGGCGGATCTCTGCGAGTTCGAGGCCAGCCTGGTCTACAAGAGCTAGTTCCGGGACCAGCACCAAAGCTACAGAGAAACCCTGTCTCGAAAAACCAAAAAAAAAAAAAAGTGAAGAGGTAAGCCTGGGATGTTTATGCCTGTTATCCCAGCACTTGGGAGGTAGAGGATGGACTGGTGTGAGTTTGAGTTCAGCATGGTCAACAGAACAAGATCCTATCTCCAAACAAAAATAAATAGCTATACCATGTTAACAGATGAGAAAACTGTAAACAAATCAATTCTCCTGAAACAGGTACACAGAGTCAAAATAATCAAAACAAACAAAACCGAAGCCTTCTTTCAAAAAATTAAGAAAATGTGTTTTATGTGGAAAAGTGAAAGATCAAGAATAGTCAGAAGATGAAAGAGGAGAAAAAGAAGCTACATTAACAGAGATACAGCTGCAATGCCAAAAAACAAAACACAGAAATGTGCATATATTCATGAGAAATACTTAAAAACTGCAAGCTGACCCTAATTAAAAAGGAAAATATGAACTAAATTAAGATTGCTCCTATGTTGGTACATTGTAGTCACATAATGTTGGAATGGTTAAGTTAAAGCTGAGAGGATTAATAACACTATTATTGACATTTTATGTACATGCTTGCTATTTGTCATATCAAGATATAGGCACCCAAGTTTGTAATAAATTATGTAAAAATGGTTAATATAAAAATTAAATGTCATATAAGGGTTAATTTTATTTACCCAGACAGAAGAATTGGCAAACTAGGGTCCATAGGCCAAATACAGCTTCTAGTCTATTGTACGAACAAGTTACATTATTTTCACATTTTATTAAGTGGAAAAGGAAAAAAGAGCTAATAACTCAAATAGCTTGAACACCTAGAATATTTGCTATCTGGTCATTTAAAGAAAATGCTTGTTGTTGTGGAATAGTCTTTCACACCATAGGAAGATATGTCACTGTAATTGGTTTAATAAAAAGCTAAATGGCCAATAGTCAGGCCGGATTTTCAGGTACAAAGAATGCTGGGAAGAAGGACAGAGAGGTAAGATAGCCACAGAACAAGTCAGATACACAAAATGGGATAGAGGTAAAAGTCATGTGTCAGGATGTAGATTAATATACAGGTTAATTTAAGCTATAAGAGCTAGTTAGAAACAAGCCTAAGCTACTGATGAACAATCATAATTAATAATAAGTCTCTGTGTTGTGATTTAGGAGCTGGTAGGCAGGACAGAGAAAGACTCACAACAGTTTGTTAACTGAAGTCGAACAACATAATCCCAGACACTACAATAGGTACTCAGTGTCTGTTGCATCACAAAATAAGGAAATTCTAACAGTGCTTAAATGAAACCCATTATAGTTACATATGGGTCAAAATGGTGCACATTTGTAATCCCAGCACTTGGGAAGTTGAGACTGGAGGATTGTGAATATGAAGCCAAGCTTAAGCCACAAAGCAAAACCCTATCCACCTTCCTTGGACACTATCTCACACATCATGTCCACTACCATCTGTCACAAATTAATGCAGCAGTACCTCTTATCCAGAAACATTAATAACCTATGAGATGACTCTCCACCCCCAAGGCCACCTCATTCCAAACCAAACAACTCTGTTCTCCCAAAATACAAGTAATTATGTTATTTCATCTATTCAAAAACTTTCAATGCTATTGGACTATGCCTTCAAGGGCCCAAATCACTGCCTATTTATCTCACATCAGATACTGTATTCACTATACACTCTACAGGGGATAACATAATTGCTTATCACATTACTGGCAGCAACAGACACTCAGCAAAATTGTTATTACTATCACAGATCACGTGATGTTACAACCAAGTCTCATAATGTGGTCTCTCTATCCTAGACTTTAACACATTAAATTCCTCCTCTTTGTATTTTTAGACACAGATGTCAGATCTTGGCTTTAGCACTTACTAGATATGACTTTGAGCAAACCATTTAACTTTCTGAACAACATAAAATTTGAGACAATAACTATATGCTACTAGGTTATTGAAAGAATAAATAATATAACATGAATAGAATATCTAAAGAGCAAATATATCAATGAACAAATAATATAACACGAATGGAATGTCTAAAGAGCAAAGATATCAATGAACAGAGAAGAGAACAGAGAAGTGCTTAAAAATAGAGCACTTAAGTCAGGTATGGTGGCACACACCTGTAATCTTACTTTTCAAAAAGTAGAACCAAGATCATGAGTTCACAGTCAGCCTGAGCTATACAGTGAGATCCTGCCTCCAGAAATAAAGTATTCATTTAAAGAACAAAAAGAAGCACTTTTCTTTAGTATCACTCAGAGAAATTGATTCAATTATAAAACCTATCTCTACTTTTCTAGGGGAAATGCCATAATTCCAAAGACAAGATCTAGGAGAAATTTTTCTATATGACTAAGCAAAGAAAGATATGGAATCACATCTTACAAGATGTTTATTACTAATATCAATTATACATTATTAAATTTATAGATTCAACATATACCTAAGCTATATGTAAAAGTAAGCTCTTTGGTTAGTTCTACTAGTTAACTACAAACATAAATATATATAAAAAATGTATTTCTGATATGTAGTAACTATTTATATATCCATTTAGAGAATTCACCTCATTGGCCTTATACCATAGGTTTTCACATTATGACATAGGAGTCAAACTTAGAAAGCAAAGAAGGAACAGAGAAATGAGGAAGAAAGAGCACCAGATAATCCCATATTGTTTTTTCATTTTGCTTTGCTTTCTCCTCTTTCCCACTGGTTTTGTCTAATTGTTCTTACTTCATAGTAAGGAAAATGTTGGCACAAAAGGGATAAAGTTTTTTTTAATGAATAATCCCATGACAAATGAATCAACAAGTAGAATATAGCTGAAGCCTACTTCAATGGATCAAAGTCCTAAATGTAAGAACTTAAAAGTAAAAATTCTTAGAATATAATCTAGCACTCAGGAGATATATGTGAGTTCAAGGACAGCTTGGTCTACATATCAAGTTTCAGGCTAGCCAGAGTCACATAATGAGGCCCTGTCTCAAAATAAATTAACAAATCTTATAACAGACAGGCATCAATACTCAAGACATTGCATTGAGTGGTGGTTTCTGAGATTCAACACTAACAGCAAAGCAACCAAAGAAGCTGAATAAATAAACTATAAATAAGTAAAGAAACTAATAAACTGAATACATAGAAATGAAAAGGTTTTCAGCTTTAGAGGTCATCAACAAGAAATCTATCTACTAAATTCTGAATTTGAATGACATGTCTCCAAGGAAATGTCCAACAAGCAAATGACATTAGGGAATGGAAACTGAAACCAATTTCATACCAGAACAGCTCTAATAAAAAGAGGCAAGACAAGAATAAACCTCAACAGTAGTTCAGTGTTTGCCTAGCATGTTGAAAGCCCTGGGTTCCATCTCTAGTACTGTAAGGAATTAAAAAGAGAGAGGATCACAAATAAATGTCACAAGTGTTGACAGGGATGTAAAGAAAGTGGAACATCTGACTACATATAAATCTACTTTCCAGAACATCTTGGTAATGTTCAGGAAATGCTAGACAAAACCAGTGGGAAATTAAAATTAAAATGCTCCTAAAAGGTTAAACATATTTTATCATATTACCCAACAATTTCACTCCTGTGTATGTATCAACAGAGAGAAAACAAATATCCATGCAAAATTTTGTACACAAGACATTACAGCACCATTATTCATAAAAGCTAGAGGCAGACACCTAAAAGTCCATTAGACTGATATGGAGTATATCTACACAACAAAATATCATCCTACTGAAAAGAAATGCAGTTTCAACACTGAGTGAGCTGAGATAGAAACATAATGTGTTCAAGGCTCATCTAAACGACATGGCAAGTAGTCTTGAAAATAAAAACAAGCATGGATAAACCCTTTCATTATGCTAAATGAAAGAAACTGGGCACAAATGGCCATAGATCAAAGGATTCTACTTACAGAAAGTGGGAAGGAAAATGAACACTGTTGAGGTACAAACTTTCTTGGGAGTGTTGAGTATGTTTTGGAAAAAGATAACTGCACAACTTTGTGAACTTAGTAAAATCTATTGATCTGTACATTTGAAAAGGGTGAGTTTCAATCTAAGGCCAGCTTGAACTACAAAGCAAGACTCTGTGAAGAAAGAAAAGGAGGGAGTAGAGGGGAGGGAAAAGAGGGGAGAGTTTACAGTATCACTCTACGAACAAAAGGATGGTAGACATTATACACCCTTCCCAATCACCTACAGAGGAGAGCAACATTCTTCTATTAGACAGTAAAGAACTCCTTGTTCCCAACACTAACATCATTGTCCAAGGAGGAGCAAGTACTTTCATTTAATCGAAATAATTCTTACTGATTTTTTGATAAATCTTTATTAATTTATTTTTATCTACTGTGTATACAATATTCTGCCTGCATGTATACTTGCATGCCTAAAGAGGGCACCAGATCTCATCACAGATGGTTGTGAGCCACCATGTTGTTGCTGGGAACTGAACTCAGGACATCTGAAGAGCTGTCAGTGCTCTTAACCTCTAAGCCATCTCTTCAGCCCCTTGTAAGTCTTTCATGATCACACCATTTAATGTATATCTTCTCAGAGAAAGTCCAAAAGACAATACTTTTTAACATTTTATTACAATTACCATATGAGTATTCATGTCTTTTAGAGTAAAAAGAAGTTTCACTGGGCATGGTGGTACACACTTTTAATCTGAGCACTTGCAGCCAGATCTCTGAGTTCTGGACCATCCTTGTCTACAGAGTGAGATCCAGGATAGCCAGAGCTATATAAAGAGACTGCCTCAAAAACCAACCACTACCACCATTAATAATTAATTTGAGAAAGAACCAGTTGTAGGAGAATTCTCTAACAACTAAGAAATGAAATCTTTTCAGCTCTTATCTCAAATCTGTAAATCAGAAAAAATCTGATCCTGACAAATGTACTTATGCTAGGAAAAAAAAAAAATCATAGTGAAATTTAGAAAGTAAATAAAACTTTAAACATTAAAAAAAAAGCACATATTCTAAATGGTAGAAAATTAGGTTTTCCTGATCCTTTTAATACATTTTTTTATGTGAAATTTCCAAAAGGCTACATGAACATCTGCATTATAATTACCTTATCTTTGGCCTCAGGCAGTGTGATTTCTCTAGGTTCTAACAGTGGAATTTCTCGAAGAGGTGGAACACATCTTACTATATCTGGTACATAGTGTGTGTGAAACAATGGCGGCATGGAGTATCTTCGGTCACCTGATAAAGGCACTATCTGGTTAATTATAGTTGGCTCTTGGTGGGGTGAATGGAAACGCTGTCGTTTACCATCAAGAGGAAAGGCTTTTTCATCGCTTATTCTCCTGAAAGCAAGCAAATACACCTTAGTGACTAGAGACACAACTTTCTGACAACAGAAGCATACAAATATAGAAACAGATAATAACAGCACTGTGGCTCTTTGGATAGAATTACATTATTAACTCCCTAGTGGACTTTTAATATTCATTTTAAGAACAAGAGATGCCTTCCAATGTCTTCCAAAAACAAAGATAATTAATGGCTTTTGAATTACCAAAATGAGTCATCCCCAACAGTGAAAACAATACAGAAAAATGCATACTTGTGGGATTATACAAGCACTAAGAATTAAAGATAAATTCTAACAAGAGGGTAAATAAACTGAGTGATATGTGTGTGACATTTTTTAAAGATTCTTTGAATATACCTATGTTCTGGCTCATCAATGGGAAAAACTAAATTGACATTTTTATAAAAGCTATAAAAAGTTAGACAACAGGAGACACTTGAAAACAAGCTGCATTTCAGATAATATACATTAACACAGATGTATGGGCATAAGTAAAGCATTCTGGTTACATAGGGGAATGTCTTTACTTTGATAAGGAAAAGGCTGAAGTGTTTTCAGATAAAGTTAATGTCAACAGTTCCTTTACTATAATTTGGAGAAAAAGTGTGAGAGTGAGAAAAGAGAAAAAAACAGTTAAACTTTACAACTAATAAATCAAGGGAAAATATACTTTTACATTTTTCAGAAAGTTTAAAAATTTTCAAAATAACAAGAAAATAATTAGGTAAGCACAGAGAACCTGCCAAGTACCTGTGAAGCCCTGGGCTCAGACCCCAGTACTAGGAAGAGTAAAAATGAGTAATTTGACAGGGAAAATGATATTTATTTCATTGATAACCTAAGCTGTTCACATGAAATATTTTGTCACAGAAAATGGTCCAATATCTTTCAAGCTCTAAAATCCTATGGGCCAATGCCATCTAAAAGTTTATTATTACACTGTTCCTCCAAGAGTATTCGCTTTATAGATCTGGAACTCCTACTCATAAATAAACATATATAGGGCTAGACACGTAAAAGTACATTTGCTTTTTTTAAACTTGAGTTTAAACATATACACTGAGTAGCTTCAATTAAAAATACAAATCTTAATTTTTAACAATATCTGTTACTATGAATTAATTAAACTAATCTTCACTCATGAGTTACCAATTGGTTACTAAGGCAATTTCAAAATTATAAAACTAACAAAGTCAATATTCTTAGAATCATTATATAACTTTCCCAATGATAATCCAGAAAAACTTATGTTTATCATAAGCTTGGTTCTAGAAGCAGCTATACCATCTCTGCTTGAATAACTATAACTTCTGTATCTTACAGCTTTTGTATAAGCAAGAAGATAACAATGAGACTTAATGACACTATTTTAAAGTTTTTAGAACACTACTACATTTTAAATTACTATTATTTTTAACTAAACACAGAAACTATAAACTAGGTTTTAAAAGGTATACTGTACAAATATTACAAAATGTTATTTTAACAAATACCTCTGAAATTCTATTATTTATTTTAAAATTGACTGGTATCTGAAATGGCTATAGAAAGCCTTATATCAGCCAGGTGTGGTAACGCACGCCTTTAATTTCAACACTTGGAAGGTAAAGGCAAGTGGATCTCTGTGAGTCCCGGGCCAGTCACGTCTACAGAGCTAGTTCCAGAACAGCCAAGGCTAAATATATATATATGAAAACATGGCTCAGAAAAAAAAAAAAAAAACCAAACTAACAAAAAGTGTCTTACAAGATAAAACTTGTCAAAAGAGAATTAAGTGTAACTGGGCTCCTGGAGGATGGACCCTAATCTGTTATAATGTGTCCTGCAGAGATCAGATCACCACATAGGAAAGAATACACAGTACAAGAACAGGAATCTACATGCTAAGGAAGGGCTGCAAAGGAACAGAGCCATGCTAAGTATGATCTCGATTTTTAGTCTCCTTATGGCATCAAGTATCAGTTTACAGCACTTTGCTATGGCAACCCTAGTAAATTCCTAAGAAGGCATCTGATGAGGCTAAAATTATCAATTAAAACACAGATTTCTAAAGAAACATAGCTTTATTCCATCTAAAACACACAGTGGCAAGAATAAAACAACTCCAGATTTATTAAAATGTTTGAACCCAAAGAAGTTTTAAAATTCTTTGACTAATCTAACTGCACAGGTTATCAGAAAACAAAACCTAGGCCATACTCTCCAAATAATTTCATACAGCTGCTACACAGTCTACTATAATATTTTTTTAAAAAAGTTGAAAAATACTTACTTCCTTCCTCGAAACAATGGGGATGTGGAGGTCTGTATTGGACTGACAGTTCCATATGTCAGGGGCTGTAAGGTCACAGCTCTAGACAAGCTACCAAAAACACAGAATAATAACATAAATATTTTTCTTTAGAACCAAAAATTCCACACAAACTAAATACTTAGAAAAAAGAAAACAAAGTTTAATAATATTTTCTTTGCTTTCAAATATTGCATACAACAACATTATACCAAAGAGGAAACAGAGCGTCATGACATGGTCCAAAACAACAGTATACTTACTCTACATTTTGGAAGTTGTACTGTGCATCAATAAGTTGCTGGTGTGAATAAAGAGTTGGTGAGAGAGCAAAGAAGCTATTATGCTGTTGGTGGTTTGGAGTGAAGGGAGGACGACCCAAAATTGAGTTTGGGAACATGCTCTTGCTCACTGAGGTTGAACATGTATTCTTCTACCTATAATTTTAAAGGATAATACTAAATTATTATAGCTTAAAGACACAGAACTCTTTGGTTAGTATTATCACTAATTAAAACAATTATCTTCAAATTAGTCATTCCATTTGCAAAGTTATTTCTGAAAGTTAATGCATCTTAAATTCTACTATGGGCAACAAATCACTAATAGCTCATTTAAAATCTAAACCACATTCAAAGGCTTTCAATAGTGTGCATGTTTCAAATTTTCTGATGAATATGCTCTAATCAATGTACCTTAAAAGCAACATAACTTTTACCACCACTATTCTAAACAATAAAAGAAATCATTCAAGAGATTTAATTAAATTGCACAGATCCTTACATTTATTCACAACCTAACTCATAAAAATTACATGCTATCGTGTGATAACCTGATATCTAGGACATGGTACTTTACATTATCTGAAGAAACAAGTAATATGTGTCACCTACTAATTCATAAAATTCCAAGATTTTTCTCAGCAGTTATACATAAAAGACTTGCAATCAAACAGTTCCATAGAGGGAGGAAAACTATAGAGGACAATCAGAACACATCACTAACCTAGTAAGACACTAGATGCTTTTTTCCAATGACTAATCCAGTAAAGATCTTCAAAAAGGTGGGTGAGATAGCATACAAAAATCAAGAGCCGGGAGGTGGTGGTGCACACCTTTAAACCCAGCACTGGGATCTCTGTGAGTTCGTGGCCAGCCTGATCTACAGAGCTAATTCCAGGACAGGCTCCAAAGCTACCGAGAAACCCTGCCTCGAAAATTGAAAGAAAGAAAAAAAAAAACCAAAAAAACAAATTAAAAATGATACTTGCGTGACCATTTTCTTAAAACATGTAACTCAACTGAGAGACAGTATACGATATAAGAAAAAAAAACAATAAAACACAGTAAAAGTTAAGGGTCTACCACCAAAAAAGTCAACAGAATTACGTGCTCAGCCTACCTACAAGAAATCCTAACAGCCACCAGGTACCACTCACATATAAGAAGCTTTCATTTAGATTTCTAGTAGCTCATACTCAAAATAATGCATCCACAGATCACCAAAGAGGGAGGAAAAAGAAACAGGAAATAAGCAGAAACTATATCAAATAAACATTCAATATATATATATATATATATATATATATATGCCTAGAGAATCCAAGTATGTGAGCCAAAATTATAACAGAAGTCCATGAAAAACAGAAACACAGAGCAGGAGTAGGGAGGGAGGGAGGGAGGGAGATAGAATTTTAGAATATCCAGAGAAAATCAGTTTATTAATATTCGAAGAGAGGAAATATTAAAAAGTTGGGGATCAAAATGTCTTTGGACTTTCTAATAGTGGAAGCCACAAGACACAAATTAATGCCTTTAAAGCTTTAAAGCTTAAGTAAAATGTAAAGCCAGAAGGCTACCCCTGTGGATAATATCAATAAGGGAAAATGAAAATATTTGCAGATATGAAGCGTAAAAAGAGAAAGGTGAGGCAGGTGGCGCACACTAGTAGTCCCAGCACTAAGACTGAGGTGCAAAACTGTTTAGCAGTGGATCGCCGAAGCAAGTGGATCGCCAAGTTCAAGGCCAGTTCGGTACACAAGGAGAGTCTCAAGCCAGAAAAACCACATTAGGGCAATTTCCCAGAAAGGGAAGGAAGGGAAGTTAACAGTAGCTCAAAGTCAGAGCAGAAAGGTAGTCTCAAGATGGTACCCAAGGGCTGGAGAGATGGCTCAGTGGTTAAGAGCATCGCCTGCTCTTCCAAAGGTCCTGAGTTCAATTCCCAGCAACCACATGGTGGCTCACAACCATCTGTAATAAGGTCTGGTGCCCTCTTCTGGCCTTCGGCATACACACAGACAGACTATTGTATACATAATAAATATTTAAAAAAAAAAAAAAGAAAAAAAGATGGTACCCAAGAAATGCAAATCAAAACAACTCTGAGATATCATCTTATTTCAGTCAGAATGGCAAAGATTAACAAAACAACCAATAACAAATGCTGAAGGGGCTATGGGGGAAAGGGAATCCTCATTCATTCATTGTTGGTGGAATTGCAAACTGGTCTATCCACTCTGGAAAGCAGTGTGGGTAAATCCTCAAAAAGCTAAAAATAAGTCTACGTTATGACCCAGCTCCACTTCTTGTAGCTGGAAATGGAAACAACATAAATGTCCTTCAAGCCGTTGGTGGTGGCGCACACCTTTATCCCAGCACTCAGGAGGCAGAGGCAGGCGGATCTCTGTGAGTTCAAGACCAGCCTGGTCTACAAGAGCTAGTTCCAGGACAAGCTCCAAAACCACAGAGAAACCCTGTCTCGAAAAACCTAAATAAATAAATAAATAAATGTCCTTCAACTAAGAAATATACAATGAAACTGGTATATATAAAATATACTAGGGAATACTATTCGGCTGTATAGAAAAATGAAATCATGAACTTTGTAGGTAAATAGGTGGAACAAAAAACGATATTGAGTGAGGCAATCTAGAACCCCCCCCCCCAAAAAAAATGTGGCATGTTCTCTCTCATCAGAGGTTCCTAGCTCCAAATCTTCAGATGTGAGGACACACCCTGGAGTTACTGCAGAAACCAGGAAAAAGGAACCATTGCTAGGGTACAGGGGTGGGGGAACAAGAGAGGGGACTAGCAGGGTACAAGTGATCTGATCCAGGAAATGGGAAGGGGAAAGTTTTAGTTAGGAAGGGGGAGGGAAATAAATATATATAGGAGGAGGGGAGTAGGTTAAATAACAGTAAGGATGTTTGAAAAGGTCATAAGGAATCATGCTATTAACTAACCTAAAACCTTCCAAGAACCAATAACTAACAAAAACCCCAATGCCAGGCATGAGAAAAGAACCCCCACCCCTGCCCTTTGGTTTTGTCTTAGATCTCATTTTGTAGACCAGGCTGGCCACAAACTCACAGAGATTCACCTGTCTCTGCCTCCCAAGAACTGAGATTAAAGGCGTGCACCACCAAACCCAGCTGCAAAGTTCTTTTGAACTGTTGGTCAAAGCTGTCCAAACAGATTCCCAAAGCATTACAGGCTATTGCTACTGCCCTTGGTTTCCCCCACAGAGGTGGAAAGTTAAGTCCCTATTCCTGAAGACGCCATGCACTTAATACACAGAGTCCAGAGGCCTGAGCTGGAACTAACCTAAAGATTAGCTGTCATGGTACCTGAAGATACCATGAAAGCTTCCAAAGGAGAGAAGCAACCAACAGTCCAACTGAGCTATGATGCCTAGGAACCACAACAAACACTAACATTGCACGATAACCCTAAGGGTGAAGTAGTGGCATGCATGCCTTGGCAGTAACCAAGAGCTCTTTAATTCGACTCAACAAGAGGGTCATGCCTGGTACTGAAAACCTACTAGTCAACTACCCAGAGTTAGTGAAGTCATGGATCTTGGAGGAGACCCAACAAGCATCACTTTACTAAACTAACATAATACCTAACCACATTCTAAATATTTGTCCTTAATACCCAGAGATTACTGCAGTTCTCTCATTACGGAAAATTCTCTTTAAAATAAACAGAGACCATTACGAAAACCACAACCAATGAAAATGCAGAGTCATATAGCCCAGTCCCAAAGGCTACATCTACAACACAATTTCCACACCTAAGGCATGGAGAACACTGTGGGAAGAGGGCTAGGAAGATCTAAGAGCCAGAGGATCAGGGAGTTTGCTGTGAGATTGTGTCTCCTAGTAATGAAAGAGGCTACACTCGTACACAAAGAACTACAGCCAACTAAGGTATGCTGAGCATGGGAGAAATAGTCTTCCCCAGGAAAGAGCACACCAATTGGCTATCCAATACCGAATGGTCAGCCCTAAAATAATACATACAAGTAATATATACAAACTGAACAGGTTATAATTAAGTTTATATTGTATTTACATATATGCAAGCAGCAATTTGAAAAAAGGCTGTGAATTCAAAAGAAAGCAAAAAGGGGCAAATGAAAGGATTTGAAGAAAACAAAAAGAAAAGTAAATGATATAATCCTCTTGAAAATAAAAAACAATAATACTTTAGTACTAATAAAAGTCACTACACAGAAGGATACTTTTTTTAAAAAAAGAAAAGAAACTTTATAGAGTATTCAATGAGTTATTAGTGCAGACGGAGTTTTCTGGCCCAAGAAGCCAACATTCAAATTACCAAACAGAGGTGCTCAGCCAATAGCTCAGGCTTGTTATTAATTAGTTCTTATAATTTAATCCATTTCTATTAATCCAGGTACTGTCCCAAGGCTCATGGCCTTTACCTCTATCCCAATTTGTGTGTCCAATTCATTCAGCATCTGGCTGGCAACTCCTCCAATTCCGCCCTTTCTCTTCCTATCCTTCTCATTTTGGCTTTTCTGCTTAACCTTATAGCCTGGCTATTGATCAATCAGCTTCTTTATTAGACCAATCAGAGCATAACTTACAAAAGAGTACAGACGGATTTTTCCACAGTATGTCCCCCTTTTTTTCTAATTAAAAAGGAAGGTTTTAGCTTTAACATAGTAAAATTATATACAACAAAACAGTTATTAAATAAGAATTACAGTCATAATATCTAATCTATTTGTATTTAGCAAAATCAGAGAAAATACTCTATTATATATCCTATCTTTGTGAATCTAAAGTTTTATACCTAATTTGCTTTTTGTCATAATTTTTTAAAAAAACTGTAAGTTTAACTATTTAGTCTTTAACTCCTTCAAGGACCCCAGAAGGATAAAATGTTATCTAATAGCAGGAACATCAGGCTGCCTGGACAGTCACCCAAAGTTCCTTTGCAATACTGGGGCATCCACTCTGGCCTACAAGCCTAGGATATCTGACAGTCTTTCCTGGTGAAGCAGGGAATTCTGATGGACTGTCCTACCTTGTCTTGGCAAAGTTCAGCAGTCGCCTTGTATGTGTCCTGCTGGTTCAGTTTGGATAAAAAACCATCATCAGTTTCTTTGCCCATATGGCTAGCTTTTGCCATAAAGAAAACAAACTCCATACAGAGTTTCTTTGATGCCCATCACCTTCTCTAAAGTAGATTAGTGCTGCCAGGAGCAGAAATATCTTACTGTCATAAAAAGCCTTATATTATTAAAACATTTTAAATGCCATATTCTGTAGGTCTTTGAAGTATTTGAAGACCATCTATCTAAATATGTTTACCCTTGAATACATACCTTACATGACTATAAGTTTGACAATTATAGATGACTATTAACCTATATTTTTAACTATATATTATATTTTTAAATGAGTTGCTTAAACATAATATCCCAAACAAAAGTAGAAACACAATACAGCATAACAAAAATAACTTTAAATTTGTACCAATAAACTAAAATTCTTATCGATGTAAAATATTTTGAGATTAATTTTTGGAGTAAAGTAGATTCAATAATCTACCCTTCCTCCCATCATTTCCATATCACACCTGAGTGTTTTTCTATTTTTTTTTTTTGGGGGGTTTTGTTTTTTCTTTTTTCCAAGACAGGGTCTCACTGTAGCTATCAGGCCTACCCTGGAACTAGCTCTTGTAGAACAGGCTGGCCTCGAGCTCACAGGAATCTGCCTCCCAAGTGCTAGGATTAAAGGTGTGTGCCACCACTGCCCAGCAGTTTTGGGGTCTTTTTTTTTTTTTTTTTTTTTGAGAAAAGGTTTCTCCGGTTGCCATGACTGTCCTTGAACTCACTTTGTAGACCAGGACGCCTCCAATTTAGAGATCTGCTTGCCTAAGCTTTCTAATGCTAGGATGAAAGACACAAGCCACCACACACACAGCCTGGCAATATGTTTCTTATAATAATATAACCATTAAATATACCAATTTAGTTGTTGTATTTGTTATATATCATTTACTATATATTATACAGTATATTTACACATTTTATATTATGAAATTATATACTGATATGTCAAGTTTTAGGTGTGTATATAGTGTGTATGTAAAAGATTATTCAGGTTACAAAAAATGATAAATTTTCTTTTCTGATAAGCAAATCAGAGAATGAACTACAAAAGCTTAATTTTTTATCAGAAGAAAAACAAAGCCTAAACAGATAAATGTATTAGAGAATGACATTAAAAGGATTAGAAAAACTGTTAGAATCAACAGAATGGGGATGGGAGGGAGCCTGAAAAGCAACTAAAACTCACACATACAAATTTTGTTCCTTGGTTTTCCAATTCTATGGGATTAAAATTTCCTAGGTTGACCACTATCAATCAGTTTCATCAGTCCAAGTTTCATCATAAGTAGTGGACAGGCAACTTACCACCATTATCATACCTCATTCCAAATGCTTGACTCTAATTTTTACCAGAAACAAAGTATTGTCTATAGGAAATAAGTCTGTCAAATTCTTCCATGAAGTCTGTACTTCCTATTACTGGGGGGGAGGGGTTGCTTGGTTTTGTTATTTTTTTATATCTGCTGACCTGTACTCTCTGAATTTCACTGTTTTGAGGGAAATAATGGTTAAGATTTGGTTCCCTTTATTCCACTTCTGTGAACTAACTTCTCATTTTAAAACAACGTTTTTCATGGGAGTTATAAAAAAAAAGTCATTAAGTGATTAGCTATAACAAATTTTGCTTGACATTTCATTTTGCAGGAATACAGAAACTATAGACCTAACTAAAAGAAGCCATCTCTACTTAGAAAAACTAGAATTAAAAAGTTCTATTTTAAGTCATGCATAGTGGCACACACCTGAATCCCAGCACTTGGAAGGATGGTCAGCATTTGAGACTAGTTGGGAAGACACATCAAGTTCAAAGCCAACCTGGACATAAGATTGTCTCAAAAAACACAACACCAAAGTTCTATTTCAAAGCTAGGAGTAGTGGTGCATGTCTGAAATCTCAGAATCCAGGAGGCTCAGGCAGGTGGGTCTGAAGTTTAAGCACTGCCTGGGTTCCATAGGAGTAAAAATCCATCTCTAAAAGCAAACATGGGAGCTGGAGTGCTCAAAGGTTAAGAGCACTGCCTGCTCTTACAGAAGACACAGGTATGGTTCTCAGCACCTGCATGGTGACTCATAACTATCTGTAACTCCACTTTCAGGAAACCCAATGCCTTCTTCTTTCCTTCCAGGGTACTAGGCATGTACATACTAGTATGTGTGTGATACACACACATAAAATAATAGACACATCTGAAAAACTAAAATAAAAACAACAACAAATGCTATTTGAGGTTCATTTACAGAGGTTCACTGTTCAACATCTAGACAATCTTTTAACTACAAACAATAAATTGTCTTTTTCTTCTGGACCCAAATAAGGCCATATATGTCTGCATTCAGACTTAAAGATGCAAAAATGCTAAGGATACACCTCTCACTTATATTTCTATCCCATTACACAATCAACTCCAAACTAAGTAGAAGTTAAAAGATGATACAGTACCCAGAACTACTCTAAAACATTAAAACCAAATGATTCTACACTTAAAAGCTTTGAAGCCTAGACAATTGTTAAAAATAATTAAAATTTTACTCTAGGGTATGTATCTAGTTCAGCATATTCCAATACAAAAATGGAGCATTAGTTTCTATTATACTATTCTATTGAGAAAGGGTTCACTGTCCTAAGCTGGCTGGCCTGGAACTCTCTAAGCAGACCAGGCTGGCCTTGAATTCACAGAGATCAGTCTGAAGCTGAGAAGGATTCATTCTTCTGGAGTACTTCTAAAATAAAATACTACTCAGGCTCTCTCAAGAATCTTGACCCTTAAGTCAAACTCCTAACTGGGCAACCTTCAAAATAGAACCATTCCTAAGAATTAACAAATAGTATTCGATGTTCACCCCCACAAATAGCCTATCTGACCATCTAGAGAAATGAAATCAGTATCATGATTGTAATGATACTGAAACAATGATCTATTGCAAAAATACAAGGGAACCAGATGTAGTGCCACACACATTTGATGCCACTACTGGAAAGGCAGAGGCAGGAGGATCTCTGAGTTCAAGGCCTGCCTGGTCCATAAAGCAAGTTCCAGGATAGCCAAGGGTACGCGAGACTCAATAGCAAAACATAAGGAATCTTTATAAAAATATAGTTTAATGAAATAAAATCACTATACCAGAACTTCATAAAATTTTAACTAATTTATAGTTTTTGTTTGTTTGCTTTGCTTTGTTTTTCGAGACAGGGTTTCTCTGTGTAATAGCCCTAGCTGTCCTGGAACTCACAGCGCTGTGACCAGGCTGGCCTTGAACTCACAGAGAGTGCTGGGATTAAAGACCCGGTTTCTTTATAGTCTTAATGAAGCTTCCTCACTACACACAATCTGTAAAAAATTATTCTTTGCTATCTGCGGTAGTATGATAAATTTTATACTAACATCCAGAAATGGATAGCATCGAACTTTTCTTACCTTGAATTACTGGCTTTTTAATCTGTACTAAACAGTGAAACAGAATAACCTAGGTAAAATCATTACCGTTTTTGAAACCATGATACTGGTTCTTGCCTTGAGAAAAGACTCTTAAAGACTGCTTTGTCTAATATGCTTAAACCAGTGCAAGATTAATACAGATTTATATGCAAATGAGCAGACATGAGACAAGATAAATAGTTCAGAAAGAATTTCTAATGATAACAGTATTTGGTCTCTTAATTTGCAACTTAATTATTGTCCTCCAATTGATCTCTCCGACAAGTTATAGAAGACTCAAGTTTACATAATGGTCTCTTCACCAAGACTCCTTGGAAAGCAGCACCTCTCTAATACAAACAAGAACTGAATGGTTAGATCAAGTTCTCTGTTCACATTAACTAAGTATCTTTGATCCCCTAAAATGTTCAGTTCTTTTCTCCACAACAGAAAAAAAGTCTAACTCCTAAATCCTGCTCGCCCACTGTCAAAACCACCTTCGGGTTTTAACGGAGCATTCCTTTCTTTATTAAGAATTAAATTCCATCCAAGAGTTAAAAGGAAACTCTAGCAACACGGCTCCAAATGGACATTTCTCAAATAATTGAAAACTGGCCTGTGTCACACGGAGTCTATGTAGTACGGGACATTTCTAGATCCCATACAATTGGGGCTATTCACACTACTAAGTAATGTTTCTAATACCAGTTATCAGTCAGTGCAAATTAAAAATGTTATCGTGGTTAGCACACCAAAGCCTGGTAGGACTGAACTATATGATGGTAGTGCATCTGTATTCAAACACAAGAGACACACAAAAAACCCACGTACTTAATTTTCTAACCGTACTTGCATCGTTTCTTTCTCTTCCTTATATCAGCAATCTTACTTTTAAACAAAGCTGAAAGAAGCGAAACAAGAAAGAAAACTTAAGTATCTTGTTCTTTTCTTTTATGCGCAATCGATTTCTCATAAACAAAGCTCAAAGAGGCCAAACCAAGGCAGGGAACTTAGATCCGAGTCTGGGAAACACAGGAGCCCCACCACCACTCCGGTGCTCTTAACCAGATAAAAGTTGGGAGCACCAAGCCACGAAATCTGACCGGGGAAACCATCAGCCCGTCCCAACCTGTGTTTTGACCGAGGGGACTTCACGCTATTTTAATTAAATGCCTCAAAGATAAATGCCTTCCACGATAGCACATTAATGTGGACATTTACCTTGGCTCGCCACGGCCTTTTGGAATACCAGATGGGAGTATCTAGCCAGTCTTACTCTTTCGGTCTAGGGAGTGAGGACAGCGCGGGAGGCGGCGTGAGAACTAGAGAGAAGGCGGAATCAGAGAGAAGCCAGCGGCGCCAACATTCTTCACCGAGTCCAGCACCCGGGGAACGCCCCTAGTCCGGGAGCCGCAGGGCAGCGCCAGGCTCTCTCTCTCCCGCGCAAAACACAGCGCCAGTTTCAGAAAAGTTTCGCGCGCCCGGCCGGGGAGCAGGGCCTACACGCGTGCATCCCCTCCGGAGCCCCCACTCACCGGCGTCCACGCCGAAGGGCCGAGCAGGGCCCAGCGGCACCGCCCGCCAACGCGGCCGCCCGAGCAGCCCGCAGCGCGGCGAGGCCCAGCTCGGGGGGGTGACCCAGGAACCGGCAGGGCGGCGGCGAGGCGACAGCCGACAAGGCCAGGCCCGCGCGGGCGTGGAAGGTTGGGGGCGGCGACAACAAAAAGAAAGGAAAAAAAAGCGGAAGACCAAAAAGTCGCCGAAAAGGCGGCGTAGACAGCCCTGTCAGAGACACCCGGAAGATCGACGTGACCCCGGAGGGGAATAAGCAGCGGGAGCCAAAGGTCAGACTTCCGGCAGCCGCCTGTGGGGAGCGCGTTGGCTGAACTACGCAGGCGCGAGCTTGCCCGCCTTGGGAAGGCTTGGCGGTCGGCGGCGCGGTGCTGGGTAGGGACCGGACGGGGACCGTGCGCTGCCTGTGCTCCTCGGCCGAGGGCTGGTGCAGCTGCTCTTCCGTTGGCTATTTCCTGCCGACCTGCTCTGTCCATAGCGGGCCTTCCAGACTGTCGAAAATCAGCCTCACCTCGCCCTTACTGGGAAGATCAGTATTGAGTTTTAGTTGGTCTTGGAGACAAAAAAAAAAAAAAAAAATTGCCTATAATGCCCCAAACCCACCCAGTACCCTGTCTCACTTGTCCAACAGCCACTGCTGTTTAATATCTTGTGAAACTGTCTAAACTGTTTGGTTTATTGATGTAAATCTGTTAACGATGGTCCCGTTATTGTCCCACTCAGACAATATCCGACTGCTTCTATTCCTTAAACTGATAATTTGTCTTTGTAGATGTGATTATTGCTTTTGTTTTTTCTAGTTGTTTCTTTATTATTTTCAATGCTTTTAGTTAATAAAATTTTATTAAACTTTAATTTTTCTCTTAACTCACAGAGGTCATCGTCATGATACTTTTGGTCATATAATAACTTACTATATACTATTATAAAATATACTGATTACTATATAGTATGCTATCTTACTACATACTGATTACTCATTGTATAATGATTACATATAATGAATACAAATTATGAAATATATACTAAATAGTACTATACTATATACCGATTTAGCTGAATTCCACATCCTATTTTGAAATCCTATATAATTTCCACGTTATTTCTTCTTTGGCCTATTGGGTGCTTTATAAGTACAGTAATGTCTGAAATTATAGAAATATTTCTGGGCCGGGAGGTGGTGGCGCACGCCTTTAATCCCAGCACTCAGGAGGCAGAGGCAAGTGGATCTCTGTGAGTTCGAGGCCAGCCTGGTCTACAAGAGCTAGTTCCAGGACAGGAACCAAAAGCTACGGAGAAACCCTGTCTCAAAACACCTCCCCCCCCCCCAAAAAAGAAATATTTCTGAATACTTTCTATTAATAATTTCTAATTAGTCATTTTAAATGTATTAAAGCTTGTCACATGAGTCCAAGTATCGATGAAGTAATGGTCATTGTGCATTGGAAATAAAATATAAAATCATTGGATAGCATGTCTTACAAACATCAATCAAGTCTGGTCAGGTGATATTATTACTCAGATCTTCAACATCCCTACAGTTTCCTGCCTTGCTCATCCTTTTAGTTACAAGAAAGGCATACTGATGGGCTGGGGCTGTAGGTAGAGTTCAGCCTACCATGTGAGGCCCTGGGTTCAATGCCCAGTGCTTGAAAAGTACTGAAATACGACTATAATGTGGCTCCTTCCATATTTCTCGTATGTCTATCAGTTGTTGCTGGAGTTTTCATCTCCTACAAAGTTTTATTATTATGGACTGCCCCCCACCCCCAGTGTTAAGTGATCTGTTCTTTGCTCTAGAGTAAGTTCTATCTGATCATAATGCTGGCATTCCAGCTTGATGGTGGATACAGCTAATGGGCATTCTAAAGGGAAACTGTATTTACTTTTTTCCTCATTGAGACCAAAAAATTTGACAGGAAGAAGCAAAGAAAGGTGTTGGTGGAGACTACTTGTTCATTCCCAGCTACCCAGACCATGAAATAATCACTCAGAAACTATATTATTTAAATCATTGTTTGGCCAGTCACTTAAGCGTATTGCTAGTTAGCTAGCTCTCATATCTTTGGTTAACCCATTTCTGGTTTGTTTGGTTTTTTTGTTTTGTTTTGGTTTGGTTTGTTTTGGTTTGGTTTTTTTGAGACAGGGGTTCTCTGTAGCTTTGGAGCCTGTCCTGGAACTAGCTCTTGTAGCCCAGGCTGGCCTCGAACTCACAGAGATCTGCTTGCTACTGTCTCCCGAGTGCTGGGATTAAAGGCGTGTGCCACCACAGCCAGGCTTGGTTAACCAATTTCCATTAATCTGTGTATTCCCCACATGGCTGTGGCTTACCCACAAGATTCCAGCATATCTGTCTGCCATGGCAGCTACCCGTCTTTTCACTGACTCTGCCTTCTTTCTCCCAGCATTCAGTTTAGTTCCCTACCCCCCCCACCCCCGCCTAGCTCTATTCTGCCCCATCACAGGCCAAAGCAGCTTCTTTATTCATTAACCAATAAAAGCAACACACTTACTGAAGGATTTCCCACAATAGAAAGGTTTTTGTTAGCTTGTGGCTTCAGAAGTTTCAGAGCATCATAGCTAGGGAGGCATGGGGGAGTTCAGGATAGCAACAGCATGCTTACACTTGTCCAGTAACAAAACCTATATACCCCCTTGGATGTCTGTACATTAGAATGACTGTTCTGAACCACGAAGCTTTACTGAGGGCTCTGCATGCATTTTCACTGTCAATATTTGTATGCACTTAACCACCACACACAGTCAAAACAAAGCCAACCAACTATGACAGAGCTGGACTGTGACTTATGTAGATTCTGTCCTTCCTCATCTCCTAACTCTCTGCTTTCTTGGTCTCTATATATAAAGTATATACTATACCCAAACTAATATATCTTTCAGCTTCCATAAAAATCAACCCAAACTGGATCAGAAACCTTAATTTAAGACAGGAAAGGCAGAAACTTCTAGAGGGTAACATGGCAAATGCTCCTCCAGACACTGGAGTTCAGAAAGTGTATCCTGAACAAGATTTCAGTAGCACACGACCAAGCCCCAAGCATCAACAGATGGGCCTACATGTAACTAAACAGATTCTGCAAAGCAAAAGAACTATAAGCAGAGCGAACAGCCCACAGAACAGAGAAAATCTATGCCAACTATACTTAAGACAGCGGCCTAATGTCCAGAATTCCAGGACTGGAAGAATGAAACACCAAGAAAGAAACTGCCAGTCAGCAGTCAGGCTGCTGAACATATGCTTTTTATAAACAAACGCAAATAATTTCTTTTTAAAACTTCAACATCCCTAGTTGTCAGAGAAATGGAAAAGTTACTTTGAGACACCATCTCACTCCAGTCAGAATGCTATCATAAATCTGGCAACAAATGTTGAGGATGTAGGGGCAGTTAGACACCATCATACCAAATGCTGCCCAAGGTTTCTAGGCCCAGGCATGGGAGACAGGAACAACCACAGCTCCATGCCATGCCGTGTAGCTGAGCAGGACGGACTCACCCAAGCACTACCTATGACCCAGAGCCCTGGTGCCAGGCAGTCGGGCATCATTGCAGTAGGAGAATACAGGGAGGGGAGATAGAAGAGGGAGGTGGAACGGTTCACTGGCTGAGGAGAGAGGCAGATCTGGAGAGGTCAGTGTGGTGCAGAAAGGGCTGACATGAATGGCCTGCTGAACACTCAAGTCCGGGGGTGATTTCTAGGCCTTACCTAGGGCCATGGGTCAGGTCTTGGTCTGGGACCCTGGAGCAGCTGAGGAGGCCTGTGTTCATAGTTATGGTTCCTGTCACCACTTGGGGCCTGTGTGGGGACCTAGTCTGGGCTGCCACCTGGGGCCATCCTGGCATCCAAGGGCCACACAGCTGCAGGGCCATACCAGTCTGAGTGGCCTGCGCCGCTATCTTAGACCATGGTGACATTCAGGCCCAGTCTGCTGCATAAGACCATGCCTGAGTCTGCGGTTCTACTCCAGCCAAGGTCTGTACTGATGTCTGTGATCCACCAAAGACCACAGATCTCTAGGGGTCTGGGTTGCAAACTGTCACCAAGAGGGTGTTCAAGGGCTGTGCTACCTCCAGGGACATGCTGATCTGAGTGGCCTGTGCCATCATCTGGGGTTATGGTATCATCCAGGCCAGGGCTGCTGCTGAGGGCCTTGTCTGGGTCTATGTGACCCTACAACAGCCAGGATCTGAGTTGAGATCTGTGGCTCCTGTTACCACTGAGGGCCATGTGGATGACAGGTTACCTACCTGTTCAGCCACCTGCGACCATGTTGGTGTCCAAGGACCATGCCACTAATAAGGGACCATACTGATATGGGTGGCCAGTACTGCTATCTTGGGACCAAAGGGACATCTAGGCACAGGCCACTGCTGAGGGCCTTGGCTGGGTTCATGGTCCAGCAGTAGCCAGGGTCTGGGGTGGTTTCCATAGCTCCTGTTACCACTGAGGACTCTGCAGATGCCCAGGGTCTGGTCAACCACATGAGACTATGCTGATGCCTAAGAACCTTGCTGCCAATGGAGCCATACTTATCTGGGTGCCCTGTGCTGCCTCCGGGGCCATGGTAAAGTCCTGGCCTAAGCTGCTGCCAAGGTCCATGTCTGGGTCAACATGGTCCTGCTGCAGCTGAGGTCTGTGATGACGTCCAATGACACATTGGAACCATGCTGTGTTGAGCCAGCCCCACTGTTCATTGGACACAGCAGCAGGAGAACTGGCCCTGGACCTCAGGGGCAAGCTGTGCCCTGCACTGTGGAAAGATGGCCCCACCCCTCACCACAGGCAGGCACCTTATCACTAGAGCTAATTCTGTGCTCAGAAACACAATGAGCCCCCTCCCCCAAGGTTGTGAGAGTAAGAGAGTTGACCCGGTGATCCCCTCACCTGTGGTGGCTTGGATCAGAGAAAGATGCCCTCGCCCCCCCCCCCCCCCCCCCCCCCCCCCCCGTCACCTGCAGTCGGTGAGAGAGCTAGCCCTAGGATCGCAAGAGTGAGATGGGAGAGCCAGCCCTGACCCTCACTGGCTGCAGTGCACTAGAGAGACCGCTCTGCTCCCAATCTGGGCGGCAAACTAGAGCTGACCCTGCTGTTGGGTGTGCAGGTGAGGCAGCCCTGAGGGTGTTAGAGCCAGAGGCTGAGCCTCTCTGTAGAGGCACAAAGAGGCCAAAGGTCAGAGAGTTTTGGGACTTGTTTTTAGTTCATTCAAGGTTATTGAGCTTCTAACTCAAAGAAAGTTCCCCTC